ATTCTTGATATCGCTTTTGCGTCGTCTCACCAAGATACATATCCGAGTAATTGACCTCCTGTTGGTTCGCAGTATTGGCAGCAGCCCTGAAGTTTGCAATCTTGGCCAGAATGTAGGTGATTCGATACGCCCATATTTCTTCCTTCCCAGGCTCGGAATCCCGGCTGAAGTCCATATCAACACCCCATTCATCAGGCTCCCATGCGACTGCCCAGTTGAAGTGCAAGCAACTGAGTAACTCCATAGACACATTCAGCCAAAAACAAGCACCACCAATGCCCTTTGTCCTAGCATTCCATCCACATTCTTTCAAGAGAGCACGCGCTCCTGCAATGTGGTTCATTCGTTGAGTGGCTCTTTCAGACATGATCTCATAGACATTAAGGATGACTGCTGTTGTTGCGCACATTTCTGTATCGCGATTGGGATTCTGTAGGGAATTAAGAAGAAGGCGGGTAGCCGTATCGTAATAATTAAGTGCCTTGTCTTCGTGATACGCAGGATTGACTAATGTGAGATGACGAGCCCCACATGCTAGGAAAGCGTTAAGAAGCATGGGTTCACTGAGTGATGAAAATGGTAAAAGGCGGGAAAACTGATTCCGGATATCATCAGCAAAGAAGAAAAAAAATAACACTAAGGTCATTGGAGTTTTACATGTTTATGTGGATCAAGACTATCCATCCATATGCCCACTTCTTCTACGAATACCTGCATGAATAATGTCTCTTCCTTATCGTTCAAATGGCTTCGAACCTCCTTCTGTGGTGGTGGTGGACTCAGATTGTGTTCTGAACTCATGGTTGCAGATGATGGCGGCGGCGGCGGTGGTGGGGGCGGCGGTGGGGGCGGCGCATAATTATTTGGATTATATGATTGCCGGTGAGCATGATTATTTACCTCTTCACGATTGTTGTTGCTTTCCCCCATATGCATTGGAGTAGGTAACAATGGTAGAATCGGAGGTAAAGTATTATGTACCGCGGATGGAGCAGAGCTGATCTTTGCCGTAGACCGCGGTGTGGGCGGTGAATTCCTAGTAGTCTTTGGGGCAGGAGCATGAGAAACAGCAGCATATCGAGAAATACCACCAGCATACTCCGACGCAATATCTCTGGACTCATCTTGGAAATGGACTAAGAAAACCTCCGGGTCAGTCACAACTCCCGACCTATCAATGAAAGAATCATTTCTTACCCTTCCACTCATGTGAGATGGGCACTACCGGGGGTTGCTCCGTTTGAATATCGATGAAGTTGAGCCGCACACCACGCTTGCATATCCGACTTGACTTTCGGCAATTCTAGAGTAATTGCATCAGTGATAATCCTATCACCATATCGGAATAATTTACTTACCTGACAGTCTGGAGTTGCTTCATCACCTATGAAGATGGGAAATGAATATTAGTAACCAACTAAAGGGAGACTAAAATAAAGGGGGATCTCAAACATTTCAGATGACGTTCTCTAATTTTTGTATTATTTGTTAGCTATATATCATCCTACTAAAAGGAAAATTACGTAAAAATTGCAAAGGAATGGATTTGGAGAAATACGGACCTGCAAGTGAGGCTAAATGCGCGTAATAAAAACGTCTCATCAGTAAGATCTTCCAAGGTGAATATTTGTTTTAAAAATCAGTAGGATTTAAGATTGCAGATCATACCATCCTGCACGTAAAACAATGGTCGGTTAGTTCGTTGTTCAAAGTAGCCGGTAGGGCAACAATCTTCAACCAAGGGCCAAAAAAAAAAAAAAAAAAAGAAGGAAACATTAGGATGGATGAGATGAGGTAAATTACCTGTCCGCACACGCTTCGGCCGATTGACCACCGCCGTCTCATCTGCAGCCATCAATCCTGCCTCTCTCTTCACACCTGCCACCGCCGCACCACGGCCGAGTTGCCTTTGACGATTCGTCTTCTTTGTGCTTAGTCGGCGCGAGGATGAATCGGCGCCGAATGGAAGAAGACCTGGTTGAGAAAGCGTAGCGACCGACGTGATGGCGGTTTTTTCTTCTTTCTTTATTGCGAGAGTAGCTGGGCCGGAGGAGCGTAACCAGCTGGGGAAAAAAAAGAGAATCGATGAGTGGTTTTGCTTTCTTTCTAGGGTGAATGGGGGTCGACTGGGACTCTTCTGCTTGCAAAGGGCACAGAGCTCGCGTGTGTATGTATGTATGGGATGTATGTATGTATGGTAGTTATGCTTTTCCTGTCTTGTGCAGCAGCAAGCACGATGCAAGGGAGAGAGTTGCTTTGCCCACACGCGATCAGTAGTGTCGTCCTTGCTTCTACTCGATCTTCGGCTTTATCTAGACCAGAAGTATGATTGACACCCACCGCCGCGAAGACAAGAGAAGAGATATGGGGAAATATGAATATGATACTGTCGAACCCGTTCAATAACGTGGCGTCATACGGCCGTGTCCTGGGTTCTTTTCCTTGGTCCTTGGAATTTTGTCAAATCTGTGGAATGTCAAGTTCTTAATCCAACACACACCCACACACAATCTTTCCTCGTACGCAGTTCTCTCCGTTTTCTCTCTCTATGCTGGTACTCGGGCCGCTGTCACTTCCAATTATAACACAAGCACAGACCCTGGGTCTCGACTCAGAGACAACTGAAGATATTCCTTTCTGAGAAAGACAATGAGCGAGCTTGGAGCTGGAAATGGATTGAGCTTTTTTTTTTTTTCTTTGGCAAAATGACGGATGATAAAGTAGTTGGGGGGGGTTTTCGGATTTTGCTTTGGAGGTTGGGGGTTGGAGGTTGTATATGTATTGTATGTATGGTATGCAGTATCAAAAAATGGTTGAACTGTTTTGTCTAGCCTCGGAAGTTTTTTTGGGATGCTAGTGAGGGTGTTATCTAGGTAGAATTTTACACTGCAGAAGCGAACACGGATTTGCAAGGAAAAGCCAAAAGTTGCCGGGAAGAATGGTCCAGAAGTATTGGTCCAGTGAGTGCAAGTTCTCCAACAGAAGCGAAAGAGCAGCTGAGAAAATGAAATCCCAGGTAGGGTAGTAGGGGTGGAGGCAGGAGGAGTATGGAGTATGTATGTAGGAGGTGGATATCCTAGGTAGATATGGGGTTCCAGTTGAGTGACAGAATCCACCGGGACGTTCTGTCTAGCTTGCTGCTACTTACTACATACCCCTACCTTCCCCCCTCCCCCATGGCCATCCCATCCCATCCCTCTCTTCTACTCGTAGGGGTGCCTTGCAAACTCACCATGAAAGGATGATTCTTTTAGAAGAGACGAAAGTTGTGCCGTGCTTGGGCATTACGCTTTTGTCTTTCTTTTCTTTTCCTCAATGGTGGTAGTGGTGGTAGCGGTCATAGGCTCTCAAGAGCCAGCCCAACGTCTTTGTGACCCCAGGTTTCGAACAATTATAAAAGTTATGAAAAATTAAAACTCTTGGAAATCAAACGTTGTTTGGCAAAGTCATGTAACAGTTAGGTACTACAAGCCTCTCCCTAAAACGCAATATTCTAGATTGAGGGGGTCGCGCGTCTATGCAGAGAACAATTCTCTAACGAAAGCCTTGTTCCTCTAAGCGCTTTCGATCTCCACTACTAGACTGGATGATCCCGAATTGCAAAAAAGAATTGCTGACCGTAAAAGCAAATAATCGCTATTACCAGGAGTCCAATGGCATGTCTGCTGTTGCTCCAACTTAGTAGGGTATTGACTAGAGTAGAGTAGTGCTGCGAGGGTTCGAGAGGTGGTGACAGCTGTACTTACCCGATGAACTAAATTATGTAGATATGATGATGTCTCTAGACCATCATTACTGTTACCCTAAAGTACAGTACTGGGTACGTCAAGAGAGCTTATCCCAACCCAACTCATCCCAACATTCTTTTTTAGATCTGCGCCCTGAACTCAAGCACAACTTGTTGAATTGGTTGCTTGCAAGTGAGGCTTGATGCGGAGAACCGCTATGTCGGGATTAGGAGCAAATGGCTGTGCGAAACATGATTTGTCTGTGCTCCCCATGCCGTGACGGGTGTGGGGGGATGAATGGACGTGAGGCGGTGCCTAGATGGCTGCCAGATTAGATGGCACCCCAGACCAACCACGAGAGCAAGTATTGCCGGGTAAGGGTTGGGCGTATGACGGTAGGGTACCAGGCCAGGTCCCTCCTGCCAGGCCTACATATACCTGCCTGTAAAAACGTCGTATTATGTGTGAAGGAGATTTAATACCGAAATAACGTGGACCTCACTAAGATAGAAACATCCGTACTTTATATAAATGACCTACAGAAAAGGGCTGAATGCAAGTAGGCACCTGCTGATGTAAGGTGAAAGGAACACCGGGCGTTCAACAAACTTAATCAGTTGTCAGTTTTTTAATTTTTCTACTCTTCTCCCGTAGAAGCTGACTGGAAGGAGGGATGGAAGGAAGAAGATCTGAGATCATGTTGAAGGAAAGAATGGAAAGGGGTTTGGGGGGGGGGGGGTGCACGGTAAATCGATCCCAACCCGCACCAGTGCCGCTGATGTTATTGCAGGGTTGATTGAGTTAACGGTCGACAAATGTTTCCCTATCAATAGCAATACGTATGTGCATTCCACATCCAACGGTGAACTTTCTTTATGACCTGTATTCCTTCCCATCTCATCACGTTTTTTGATGAGCATCTCTTCTAGCTAGATGCCGACTTTACACAGAGAACTCTCTGCTATAGATCGATCTACCGTGGAATGCTGGAGCCTCACGTGTTGTCTTTAACCTATCATCACTGATCTTAGGTTTGAAACTCGATGGAGAATCAACTAGACCACAAGCACGCGCTGAATCCCCCATCCCTCCCTTTTTCTCCTCCAACCCCGGTTTCATCCCATCGCTCAATTATCGTTGTAGATGAGATTAGCAGCAACATCCTCTCCCTCTCCCAAGCAGCGAGGAGCCAGGGGAGGCTTGGATAGATAATTCTCCGAAGAACCACGCATGTCTCGGCGGTGCTGCTGAGGCGCGGACACCCTATTTTCAATGGTGGGTTTCTATTCTCAACTGCCGCAGTAAATTAATGTTTCCCATCGCAAAAAAACTCGTTTTCCTTTTTGCCTACATTAACTTACAAGCGCTCTAGTATAACTACATGAAGTTAAAGCACACTGAGGGTTGTCGATGTGTGTGAAGTATTTTCGAGACCATAGCGCTTCTGGCGGTATAGGTAGGAGGTTGTGCATGAACGTGAGCGTTGAGATGGGGCCCAGCACGGCGACAAAACACAGACACTTGTTTGCGCTGGTAGAGCAACAAACATGCTTGTCGCCCGAGGATACGGTTATGGAGTCTGGAAGGATCTGGGCCGATGCGACCCCCACGATTTTCTACTTTGACGTTGATGGATGCGCGCAGTCACCTGACTACATGTAGTGACATCTAACTACATCTATTAACCTTTACAATAATTACTTGCGGCCAGAGTAAAAAAAAAGGGTAGATCCTAAGGTTTGCCCTAGGCCCAGCCACCAAGGTTAAGTGGTACCAACTTTTGGGAGCTTAATCTGCGATAATACACTATCTTCTATATATATACACGCGCTATAGAGAATATCAGCATGGCTATTATTATGGAACTGTCTCTCCCTCCCAAGAGCAATGCTTTTTTCTCTCGCCAATATTTCACATGTCTAGGAACTTATTTACCCGTGGGGCCAAAGTGCGAGCCACACAAAACTTTCCCACTAGGCAGGTAGGCAGGTTTACTCGAAATCTATTGAGATCCGATCTGTCACGTAAAGTAGAGTGCATAGAGTACTAACCTACACCATACAGTAGAGTAGTACATAGTTCTAGGTAGTCGTCACGGGCCCGAAACTCCCCTACCCTACGTAACGTACCCCCCTACCCTTGCCCTGGTCTCGGGTTTATAAAGAAGCGAAACAGGCTACTGCGTTCGACCCTAACTCGATCCAGCAGTAATATAAACCATTAGTTAAAAGGAGGCAGCAAAAATACTTTTCTAGAGAGCTGCCTAGCTACTACTAGTAGACGAAAGATATATTTATATTATAGAAAAGGAAGAAGGAAGTCTGATCGCAACCGCAGGAAGGAGATCACGGACTAAAGTACGAGCTGAAAAAAAAAAAAAAAAAAAACACGCAATACGAAGCTAGAGTATGTTACTTGGCTCTTTATTAACAATAAATTTATACTCTAGGCCCGATATGGCACTGATCAGCGCGCATACCATCTCCCCAGCCCTCCCGGGTGAGATGCCATGATCCTAATATAGAGAGTGGCCAACTGGATTAACAATGTTTTAATAACACAAAGGTAAGCCTCCCTTTTAGATATTGCTGCATGTACCTGTAGCTGCGCATGCCTGCCTACCCGCCTGCCTAGGCTCTGGGGTAGATTGGGGACATGTGTGATAGTAATTAATAGGGGAAACCTCCCCCATGGGGATTGACCAATTGGGGGGTGGGGTTATAGTATCTAGGCTTTCCCGGAAGTTTCCATCTACAATTTTATGTATGCCCTTCACGTGCACAGACTCGGCGACTACATGTATTCTATCACTCCATCGTAGGGTGGGGGAGATACATGTAGATAAATGTCTGTACTTTTATGAAGTACATTTACAGCTACATAACCGGCCTAGACAGTACAGCTAGTACCCGCAGTAAGGGTCTCGATAGTAGCATTTTCCTACTTTAATCGAGAATATGGCCACTATATCGAGTACTGTAGTAGCTATAGAGTAAACGTAAAAAAAATTGCATCCATGCCATCCATTACCAACCTCTGTCAGTCTGAATAAACTCTATCCACCACCGCCACCTCTACCGGGGGGTTTATCTTGCATGTTCCCTCCACCTCCCGTCCCGGGGAATAATCCAAAGTGCGAATCGCGACATGCATTACAATTGGGCACCTCCCGCCCCGGCCCCTCTCCCCAAACCGGAGAAAGCATCCCTTCCATCCTTCCATCCCATCTGCGGCCGGCATAACTCCCGGGAATCCAGACGGAAAGAAAAGGAAAATGCCGGCCGCGGCGGTGCCCCCCTTTCTCGCACGGGTACCTACCTGCCGATTGGCGGGTGTGGCGAGATCGGGAAGGTGCGTTGCATTTGGTACATGATGGTGGTGGTGGTGGTGGTGGTGATGGATTAGAGTAGGGAGGGACGAAGAGTGGGGAGAGGGAGGGAGAGATATATTTAGAAACGGCATGTACCTTTGGGGTGGAGGTTTTTGGGGTTTTGATAGTGAGATCCTCGGCCGACAGAGGTTGTGGACTTGCTTACAATACACATGTAGTAACTACAAGACCGTACAGGCCAGGCCAGAGCAGGGTTGAGCTTGTAATTAACGGGGGAGTCGAGGCAACATCATCACCATAATCATCAGAAGGGAACAAAAACAAACCCTCCATCTAAAGTAGTGATCCAGTTACATAGCTAGCTACATGCAACTCCCCCTCCCGGCCGCAAAACGGGAAAAAAAAAAGAAGAAAGAAACGTAAACTTTTGGATAAACCCCCCCGTCCCATCTACAGCTCCACCATTCCATCTCTACTACTCCTCCCGCTCCGGCCTCCCCGTCCCCTTCCTCAGCAGTCCAACCGCATACAGCAGCCCTTCATTCAGCACCTTCTCATCGCCCGCGAACCCAACCTTCGCCGTCTCGGCCGCAATGGACGCCAGTGCCTCGGAGGAGCTTGTGCTGACCCACTGTTGCGAGCCCGCATGCATGAACTGCTCGATCCCCGGTCCTTCGGCGGTCGCCAGGACCACAGAAACCCAGAACGCGGGACCAGCAGGATCGACCGCGAGGTCAAGTGGGTTGCCTGTGAGTGCGATGGTGATGGGGTGTGCGAGGTTGCTGGTGGCCTCGTCGTGCGTGAAGACGAAGATGGCCGGTACACTTTTTTGGGGTCCCCGTTAGCCACATTGTGCGGGTTTTGTGAACGGGCGTGGGGAAACTTACCTCTCGAATGCGACCAGCACCTGCCGCAGCGATGGAACCTCCCAGAGGCCCACGACGGTCACTTTAAACACCCTATCGGCCTCGGCCTCGGCCTGGTCTAGTTTACCGCCCGCGACCTTGCGGCCGATAACGCCGGCGACCAAGTCCCCGACTTCGATCCGCTGCAGCACTTTCCTAGAGCACCAGTCCCATACCAGGAGGAAGTCGTCGCCGCCGCCCGACACGAGTGTGTGTGTGTCCCAGGTGGGGATCAGCAGCTTGCTCACGAAGCTCTCGTGGCCGAGACAGAAGCCCTCGATAACATGACCCTGCGGGTACCGCGAGACACGGATGTGCTCGTCCCTGTCTGCGGTAAGGACATAGGTGCGTGGCTTGGTGTCTTGTGGGCCTGGAACAGTCACAGAGGCGATGTCGACAAGCATGGAGACGTGGCCGAGGAGGAGCGTGTGCGTGAAGGGGAGGTCGAGCGAGATCTCGGTGCGCTTGCGCTTCTCGGCGGCGAGGCGGTCGCGCTCTGCTTTTGCGAGCTGCGCAGCAGTGGGGGCGACGGTGGAGACGGCGGCGGTGGGGGTGAGGGCTGCGAGCTCTTCGGGCGCTGGGAGAAGTGGAACGGAGTAGACGTCGCCAAACTTGTCGGCGAGGAGAATTGTGTTCTCAGAGTCGGCCGTGGCGATTGCGCAGAGGCGCTTGGGCATTGCGCTGGCGGCGGTATATTAATCAGTATTCCTCTCTCTTTCTCTCTCTCCGTAGTGGGTAGGGATATATCATGTATATCATATACATGTGCATACCGCTCACTCAGAACCTTCAACTCCGCGCCGCCCGCCGCAATCTCAAATACCCGCAGCGTCTTGTCCTCGTTCGTCACGACAACAAGATACCTCCCTTCCTGCACCGTCAACATCCTCGTGATGCTATTGCCCGTACCCTCGCCATCCCCACGTGGCGCACCCACGCCCAGCATCGATGTCCGCACCCAGGCTGGCTCCTCCTCCGCCGTGTCGACTTTGCGCTTCTTGCTCGGCGAGCTCTCCTTCTCCTTCTTCTCCTCGTCCTTCTTCTCGTCGTCCTTCTTCCCCTCCTCCTCCTGTGCCTTCTTCTCTCCCCCCTCCTCTTGCGCCTTCTTCTCCTGCTCCTCCTGCGCACGCTTCTCCTTCTTCGTGGTGCGTACCGCGAGCTGCGGCGCGCTCCACGACGTCATCAGGGCGCCGGTAGTACCGGAGAAGCACTGCAAGATGCCGCCGAGCGCAACGAGGAGCGTGTTAGTGCTCGGACAGAAGTGGAGACGTTGCGCGGGGTGTCGCATTGTTAATTGAGTTAGTTGGGGGTTGTGCGGTGGTGAGATGTCTGTCCGTGGTGGGGGTAAGTTTGTCGCCGTTGTTGCGGTGTGAGTAAAATTTCCCCGAGCCTCACTCAGCCAGCAGCCAAGACTTTGCAGAGGGTCAATGATCGTGGTTACAGGAATATCGGAAAAGTCGGGTTTTAGGACGCGAGGGGCATTGGGACTTGAATAAGGGGACAGATATGAATGTGGGATTGCTGCATGTTTCTGACGGGCTGATTGCCGGTTTGTAGATTATCGGTGACGCGATTGATCGCAGCTATATATAGCCAGCTGGCTAGCTATATATCATCCGCTCCGAGGAATAGCTCAGAACAAGCTCCAGAACCCCTGTTTATATATGGCCATATATATTTTTCTCTAATAGCGTAATTAAATCAAATGGCATGTGCTCATGGCGAATACTACATCCAGCGGAAAAGTGGTATTCGTTTGATCCTCATCCGTAAGTATCCAGGCCAGACCATGCCGGTCTCGCCAAAATACAGGGATATTGAACCTCCGAGTCAAGATTTTCTCGGTCCCGGACATCGCCCCCACATCATATAAGCTCCGCTCTTACGATATAATGATGATCATTGAGGTCTAGTTGATCTCAATCGTAGCTGGCCGGTACACGTAGTTCTTGACTTTTTAGGAAGCACCCTCGCCAGCTCAGTGACCAAGATATATTCAATGGCCTGTTTCATCCCTCCTGTTAATATCACGGCATGGACAAATTCTTCCGATAGCCATGGATGGATAGGTTACGTACCTCACTACCCTCAATATTAACAATATCCAAAGAAGTATACACTCAATCTTCTTATTCCGCCCCAGAGGTGTAGCCCAATCTATCACTTACAATATTGCAACAGCCAGCCCACTACCCAGTCTATTAATGAAAACGCCACCAGTGTCGTGTCGAGGAGTTCTGTTGCTTTTTTTTTCTTTCTAGACCGCTCGACCTGTGCGTGGGTACACTATAACAAAGCCCATCTAATTTGTAGCAGCTTGGGACCAGTATTCTAAGGTACCGAGGAGGGCAGTATAGAGCTAAGGGCGTATGTTAGGGAGAATTATGATGTGGTTCTGGAAGTGGAGTTGGGTTGGATTATGAAGTGGCTAGGTAGCATATCAATTACTGGAGCTCTACTCAACCGACAAGCTAGGGGGACATCGCTTCCACTTCGCCCCTTCGGGGCTTTAGGAGCCACATGTAAGCAATGGCTGCAATAACACTAGTGTGGTTGGGGCTTTATAAATGAGGTATATTGTGCGGCGAAAAACTGGATCCAGGTGGTCTACCAACTACGAGAGCATACCCCACAGTGACGAAGACCACTGGGAAAGGGAGATGATCCTGTCATGTTGCAGGTAGGTATTAAGTTTCTTTCCTACACTGGGGTGGATGTAGTGCGGACGGGTTTCTGGGCAGGAGGATCAGGTACGGTGGGCTCTGACTATCCATACAGCTGAGCGCAGCGCCTCGGCTCACGATATATATATATGATTATCATAAAAATATACTCTAAATATTCTAGATCCTACCCTACGTTTGACCTTAAACACCTAGCTGCGATACCGACGACTTGTTTGCCAACGTCATGAGAACTGACGATCAATACTTCCCTTGAGTCTTTCGATACCAGACTTGGGTAGGGGTTGAGTGAAATATCGATCATATAATATCACTCGGCTAGTTAGGTTATAAAACTGTTCATGAACCTAGGAATTGTGCCCTGGTTGATATTGTGCGAATTGATGTTGTGGGCTCCTGTACTTGCTTGTGGGCAGTGGTAATCAAGTCAGCATGGCGTGCCTTTGCAATTAATCGGGTGTTTGTGAAGACTGTACGAGAGGCCGTTGATGATAACAGCACCACTCTATAGACAGTACTTCCAACAGCCATCTTTGAAATACAAGGTGAGAACTATCAAAACCTGCCACATTTCTTCAACCCTAGCTCCCCTTCAGTCTTCAGCTCAGGGTTAATAGGACGAGTATGTTCATAGAGTATCACTCGGCCAGAACGATGCATCCTTCCTATCGACACGCGCCTGAGCAACTATTGATATATTGATTGATAATTCCTTAATTGTATGTAGCCCGGCGCCTGAGCAACTATGAGATTTACGTCAACCCCGTAAAGTAGTCTTAGGGGCGCCAACATTGGCGCGGCTTGTTGTCTTTATTTTCTTGTTTCCCAACTTCCAACTCTTCTTCCAACTCTTCTTCCAACTCGATTTTCTTCCTCCAGATACCCAACTGCCCGAGCTCCTAAGATATCGACTCCATAAACATCCTGAACTCCCTCAACCCCCTAATCCCCACTTTCTTCATCTAACTTGAGGTTTCTCCCCCCCTTAGCCTCTCAATATTAATACTTCCGGCTCGCTCGGGGGTTCTTCCCGCTTCGCCAAGCTCCCGAAGACTTCTCAACCCGCAATTACCAACCGCCCCATGACCTCACAGCCCTCCAAGGTTTCTCCCTCTCTAGATCCCCTACTCTCCTAACTTCCTAAAAACCACAAGCCTAGCAAGCTCATCTAGATAGAGACCTGCGATTGAAACTGTGTTTATTTATGAAATTTTGACGCCTTTTCTCGACACCTTTCAATGATGATTTTGCCCGATACTTTCTATCCGCCTTGTCAGTTTTTTGTGTTCCATTTGAGACAATATGTTGCCGAATCATAAAGACACTACATGTAGTATCATGTCTAAATACATGTAGTGTCCCTTTAATCTATTGCTTAGGTGCTGCTAACATAAGACATGGTAACATCAGGCGAGCCTCGCACGCAAGCCACAGGATACTTGGCAAAGTTGGCAGCTGTAACAACATAAGGGCTATCATAGTCTCCCTCGCTCAGCACCCCCGAACAAACACACCGCGGTCAGTCGCTTTTCATTCTTTTTTGATTATTTGTATCTGGTGGAGAATAATTATGCGGAAACGAAAAGATTGTGGTTTTGCCCCTTATGGTATGTGCTTTTCTATTTCTAATTTCAGTTTTAACAAATTAATCATATGAACGTATTGATATACGAGGTATTTTGAGAGCTTTATTTCCTTATCATGGGGGACCAGGAATATTGAGATGAGTTCACCATTGCATTACACAGTCACAAGTATTCATACTATTAAATAGCAGTTCGGATCTCTTCCACCTTATTTAAAAACTCTCTGGTCGTCTGGTAAATGGAACGAAGAGAATTATCACAAGATGGGCTTATTCTTGCAAACTTGGCAACTTGCCAAGCATTGGGTTTTATTACTGATCATAAGGTATCACTCGCTAATAATTACTAGCGAGAAAACTTAGATCTTAAGAATCAACTTACCCGTCGTCTTCCTGCTCTCGATGTCTTCCTGGGCTTTCCTCACATCCCTCAAAGGGTACACCTTGTGGATTCTAACATCTACCTTACCCTCTTTAATCCACCCGAAAATCTCCTGTGTGTATGTATCAAACTCCTCTCTCGTTGCTGTTTCATTGGAGTCAGTCCAGTCCGATCTCACACATTACCGCCGGCGGAAGGAAGGAAACATACCGATATATCCAAATAGCTGTGGCCTCAAAACTTTCAAGTTCTTCGCCGACAACCTCGCAATTGCAAATGGCGGTACCGCACCACTCGCATTACCAAACGACACTAATGATCCTTTCCTGGCAAGCACCTGAAGATCGCCTTCAAAAGTGCTTTTTCCAACGCCATCAAATACCGCGGCAACTCCCTTCCCCTCGGTGATCTTCAATGTCTGCGCGACCCAGTCCTCGCTGCTGTAGTTGATCAAGTGTTCCGCGCCATTCTCCTTGGCAAGCTCCAACTTCTCAGTCGTAGATGCTGTCGCAATCGTGTGTGCGCCAATGATACGGAGGATTTGGCAGAGCCAGAGTCCAACACCGCCGGCCGCAGCATGGACAAGGATGTAGTCGCCCTGAGAATTACCGTTAGCATCCTACTGCGAGCGAGGTCTAGGCAATCGAAGGAAGCATATACCTTCTTGACCTCGTAACTCTCACGTACGAGCGTTAGCGCTGTAAGGCCTTGAATCATCGAGGCTGCGGCAAGACCCGGAGCAAGGCTTTCGGGGATGTGCGTGGCATGTAGAGGCGCAGCGACAGTATATTCGGCCTGTGTATCAGCGGCAAGGTAGGCGATGCGGTCGCCGACCTTGAAGTCTTTTACTTCGGCGCCGACGGAAACGATGGTGCCTTCGGCTTCACGGCCGAGAGTGTAAGGGAACTTGGGAACGGGGTAAAGGCCGCTGCGGAAGTACTGCTACTGGGTTAGTTATGGTATGGGATTCGTGGAGGTAGAGAAGGGACGCACCGTGTCAATGTAATTAATGCCAGCGAATTCATTCTTGATGAGGAGCTCAGTGGGAGACGGGGTGGGGACTGGGGCGGATGTGTTGATTTCGACGACCTCGGGGCCGCCGTGGGAGTTGATTTGAACAGCAGTCTGAGTTGTTGGGATGGAGGTAGACATTGTGCGGATTTGTATAGGTATCTGGGAGAGCTGGTGAGGTTTTGGAGAGATGCGAAGGAGCGGTAGTAGTACTGATGATGTCCGTGATATATGGGAAACTGATGAGGAGCGGAGTATAATAGGGAGTGCAAAACGAAGAGACATTGGAAGGTTTAAGTACCAGAGACGTGTTCTTATATTCGCTGAGATTTATGCTGATTGACAGCTTTCCTGATTGATTGGCTAGCCAACAAAGCTTTACAAATAGCCGTTCTCGTTTGTAAGAGGGATGGAGTTAGGTCTGTATGACATTCGTATTTGTAACCCTGCTATATACGGCCGACATATCGGCCGAGTTTACCCCCATCTATAGGCATCTATCCATACGGGATGATTGTATTCGGATGGATGAGTGGTGTTTTGGCGGGTGCAGCTAATGGGTGGGGATGATGACGGAATTCGGTACTAGGATTAATTGTCGTGTAGGGGCTAGTGTTCGGAGTTGGCTTGGTGGGGGTTGCGCAGGCACGATAACTAATACAAGTAAAGCAGTATGTGAGCCTCGGTCTTGGAATACACGCACTTATCACTATTACACAGCTACAGCACTCTACAGCTCTAGTGGTATATACATGTATCGAGGGCCAGCAGCTAGCTCCCTCAATCCAATCCAATCCAACCCAACAGACACCAAAGCTAAATACTCAAGACTCAAGAAGTGTTAAGAGTCAAGATTATTTAAGACTTTCACAATCGATAACATAACGGCAGTTCCCGCAGCCACATCTGGGCGATCCACCACCAGTCGGAGAGCACGCCGATCGTACACAAAATAATACATAATACCTACTTTACAACACCCACCTGTTTCACCTTTCAAAGCAATGTCTCATCTTATCCCAGGCACTAAAGTCACATTTTGTTTGGCTCTCTTTTCAAAAGGCGGAACTGCCTAAGAATGTTTAAAAATCACGGCCAAGTCTATTGATGCTCGCCAGCTCACAAGAAAACTACATGTAACTCAAACCCCAGGCCCTAGCTTAATTTTGTTTCTTCAATGCGTCCAGCAGTTCCTGTGGCGGCGGCTGGCGGTATCCCTGTGGGTTATTTGACACCCTGCGGTTCGTCAGTATTCAATCTACACAAATCAATTAGGCAGGATAACGTACCAGCGCCATAGGTCCACACACGCCTGCTCCAGCGTTATCTCTGCCTTCCAACCGAGCTCCTCATTCGCCCTCTTCGGCACCGCTGTCAGATCCAGCACATCGCCCTTTCTTCTCTCCGCCGTCTCATACTTGAGGTCCCGCCCAACAGCTGCTGAGAAGGCCTTGATCATATCAAAGACCGTTGAGCCCTTTCCGGTGCCCAAGTTCCATGCACGGCAGCCAGGGTTGTCTTTCTTCAACTTTGCCAATGCCGCAATGTGGCCCTTGGCCAGGTCGATGACATGGATATAGTCGCGGATGGCGGTGCCATCATGAGAGCCGTAGTCTGGCCGTTATTAGTTGGAAAATTTCGGTCACCGTTTTAGAGGTAAACCTACCAGTTCCGTAGACCATAAGCTTCTCACGGCGCCCGACCGCAACCTGTCCCAACAGCGGAAGAAGGTTGTACGGGTCGCCCAATGGGTCCTCTCCCATGATACCAGATGGATGCGCGCCAGCAGGGTTAAAATATCTCAAAAGCGCAGCATTCCACCCAGGATGCGCCTCAACGTGGTCCTCAATTACTATGTTGTAGTGTTAGGATTAGGGTAGTGGGTGTAGAACAAAGAGGTTACATACTCATTTCCGCCATCATCTTTGTGCGGCCATACGGGTTCGTGGGGCCGATAGGGCAGTGCTCGGGAATCGGAATCATGCCCTCGTGCAGTGTGGCGTCGCCATAGACAGTGGCCGAAGAGGAGAAGACAATGGATTTGACGCCGTTGGCCTGCATGGCGCCGAGGAGGGCCACGGCACCGCCGACGTTTATGCGGTAGTACTCTACTGGTTTCTGAGTGGATTCACCAACTGCCTTTAGGTGTGTCAGCATCAACAATATTGTATACAATATAGCACAAGAGGCAGGTGTCCGGGGCAAAAACCAGGGGAATAGTAAAGGTAGAACATGCCTTCAGTGCCGCAAAATGGATCACCGAGTCGATCTCGGGGTGTTTCTTGAACACGGCATCCAGCGCCTGCTGGTCCGTGACATCGACATTGTAGAAGACGGGCTTGCGACCACAGATGAGCTGGATGCGGTTCAGGACCTCCTCAGACGAGTTGTAGAGGTTGTCGACGATAATGACGTTGTAGCCCGCGATGAGGAGCTCCAGGCTGGTAAAGGAGCCGATGTAGCCCGTTCCTCTTCAAGAAAAAATATACATTGTTAGCTAGGATGCTCTAAACAGTTCGGATGACATGACAGAAAAAACGATTACCCCGTGATCAGGATGGTTCCAGTCATGTTGCCCGGTAACGGAGAGTTTGTAGGGTGGGTGGTAGGAGTGGATGGACGCCGACTAAAGACAAAGGCGAGCTAATAGATCAATGAAGCAGTTGAGGGGATGGAACGTTAGTCTACAAGTGACAGCAGACAAGACAATGGGATAGGAGATTGTGTGTGTCTACGGAATACAAAGGGTTGTAGTAGATTATATGGCGGGGTTTTCCAGAGAGGGGAAATGGGATGAGTTATGGATGAATTGGATGGAGGAGGGGTAGAGGGGTGGATGATCAAGATGACTAGTTTTTGTAGATATAGCCTCCATAGAGTAGTGGGGGAGGGGCTAAAACGGGATCTCGTTTTTACGGACGGGCCCGGGAGTATTGGGTTAAACAAAAATAGCTCTCTCTCGCTCTTGCTGGATATATAGGACTACGACGGGCAAGCAGGGACGAAATAAACCTATATGGTATGTTTTCTTTTCTTTTTTTTCTGGCTAGCTCTGGGGCATTGTAGTAGGGCACATGTGGTAGGTACATGTAGCATTAGGGGTAGAGAGGGGGGGGGGAGCTGGATAATCATCTTGTAGTATAGGGCACGTTTGGTTTGATAGGCCTGGGAACGGGTAGGACGGAGAGGTGTCGGGTACGGGTGGGCCTGTGGGGAACTACTCACTATCACTATTCCAACAGCGCCCAGGGACCACAAGGCCCTTTGACTGGCCGAGAAAATAGATGGCATTGTTTTTCTTGAGGGCGAATGGTTGTTTTGTGAGGGGTGTGTAAGGATGGGGATATATGTAAGAAGGACCCTTTGTTTACCAGAAAGGTTGACTTGACCATCAAGAAGGTCGAACAGCACACACTACGATGCCCAGTTGGTATTTGGTCTGGGGGAGTGCCAAGACTGGCGCCTGTCCAGATAGGGCGGGCGGTTGCGAAAGGCTTGGCCTTGACAACCACGTCTCCTCGTGATTTAGGGTCCTCGTTTTCTGTTCGTGCCTTTACCCTTCATCGCCCCAAAGGAAATTCCACAAAATTGTAGAAAAGTAATTCGAGGACAAAACGCCAACAATAAGCAGCGTCAGAATATAGCTTTCTTTGGAAGCTCATCCCACACATCGAATACAACACTCCCATCCATCTCCGTCCGTTGATCAAGCCACGCTACCCCCAACCACCCCATTCATCGATTCGGGCCCATCTATCACCTATAAGGAACTCCCAATTGGTCAATAACCCACCCATCTCTTTCTCTACCGCACCACAATCAATCCTGGGGGTAATCGTTCTCGCTCCCTTCTCATCCTTCTCCACCACCCCGTTAGCTGGACACGGCAGACAATGCCCCGATAGTTTGCTGCTGCCCCCCGCCTGTTTTCTACCAGACAAAGAAAACAACCCCCCCCCCCCCAAACCTCAAATACTATAACCGCAAACTCTCCTACCTACAGCCACCACCCCGCCATCATCTTCCTGCAGCTCTATTGCTTGTCTGGTACGCGTTACATCACATACTCCTCTTTATATCTACACTCTATCCTGCCAGCATCCTCTAGAAACCCTTCAACACTTTTTATTTCCAGTTAGTTACAGGCCCCTATCCTATCCGTTAAAGGCCTGCCAACATTAGTGTACATCCGCTTGTTTGCGCCGGCGCATTTGCCCCGCCTTTTCTACCGTGCTAACTAGCTCGCTCGCTCGTCGTATCAAGCATGTTTACCGCAACACCACCCTCCGTCAACCGGCGACGGTCAACGGGTCGGAAATCGCTCGGACTCGGGGAGAAAGAGCAGCTCCCGTTCGTCGCAACCAGGAATAACTATTCCTATGGGTCGCAATTCAGCAATATGCCCAAACCGCCGCAGTTGGCGGAAACAAAAGTTCCCTTGTCTGTTGCGCTGAAACAGCAGCAGGATGCATCACAGGCTAGAATGAGAGCGGAGGAAATAGAGAGGGAGAGAGCTGCGAGAGAGCCAGGCACTGTGGAGCCAGAGGACTGTAGAAGGTTTGACCCTGACAAGACTGTAGTGGATAAAGGATCGCAGAAAGCGACGGAGATTGCACGAGTGCAGCAAGAAACAAGGTCACTAAGAAATGGTCATTGTAGTGCCGCGAGCGAGGAACGAACAGCTCCGACTGCAGTGTCTACTGCCATGCCGCCGCCGCCACGCAGAAGAAGTCCGAGGCAGCAATCTGGTATGTTCCTGCAGTTCCCCTCCAGTTTGCGTAAGAGGGTTTACCATCCCAATATTCATTTATCTTTCTATGGGCCATATTTCTATCATCTTTTGTAGTCACTGATATAGTTGGCTACACAGAAATCTCTGATCATTCGTATTCTATCGGTTTCGATACTACTCAGGGAATGAGTCGCTCCTATGCCTCCGAAGATGACGTTGGCCTTGCTCTTGGTCGAAAGTTCACCCAAAATTTGGCCGACCTCCCGTCAGATGGGTCCGCAACTGATGAGGACGACGAACCGGTTGATCACTGGCTTGCTACACCAGCAAAAGGGAGTACACGACAGAGCGATGCTGGTTCTGCAGCTGGCTCCAAACGTTCAGGAAAATTCAGCCAAGAACCTACATCCAAACACAAAACGCCAAGCGAACAGGGTCTCCCGGAGGAAATGGATCAAGAGTACTACGACGATTACTCTCAGAATGATCCATCAGAGATTTATGGGTCGGGTAGTGAGGGCGAGAGCGATAAGGAGGAGGAGGAGGAGGAGGAGGAGGACGACGACGACGACGAAGAGAGATATGCAAGGAATGAATACCTGAATGAGAGAATGTCGAAACAACTCGAACTTGCAGAACAGTTACTTCCCATTCTTGTAGAGGGGGTGGTAGCCGCTGGTGCGCCCCTGGAAGACCTGACACTTGGGGTTTAGGCTTATTCTTCTATCACTGGGATTGGTGGTTGTACCGACGTACGATGGCTATTCTTTCGACAGTATTCGTCTCGGTAATACTTGTCTCGGTATATTTATGGGGTGTTTATCATCTTTTTGATATTGACTTTCGAAATTTACGTGGAACACATTTCACTTATCAGCGCCCCTTGGCCCCACCAACAAATTGGGAAGACGTTCAGGTTCGGATGTACGCAATTGAAAAGGTAATCCAAGAGTTCGGGTACCATGCATCTAGGGAGCAGCTCGAATTCCAGGACACAATGCGAAAGGAAGTCGAAGTTCTCGAGGGGAAGGTTAATAGCCTTGAAGAAGATGGGCAAGAAAGTGGAAAGGCCGTTGCGGATGCGCGAAAAAGGTTGGAGGAACTGGATGACAGCATCAAAGCTTTTGAAGGGTTCCGAGCGCAGATCGAAAGTGATTTCGAGAATCAAAAAAGAATGCTCAGATTACTCAGAAACCAGCAGGATTCTTCAATGGGCTCGATCAAAGATGCTCTTCCAGACAAAATGGTATTTGATGTGAAGGGCGACGGAACTTATACGTTTCCACCCGACTTTGAGAAAGCCTTGCAGAAGTTGATTAAGCAGACATATCCATCAGACGGACCTACGGGGTTCGCCGAGACCGACAGGGAAACTCTTCAGCGAGACCCTGATTGGAATGACTTCCTAGAAAAGAATGAGAAAAGACTAAGAGGTCTTATTGATGAACACACAGGTCTCACATATGACCAGTACAAAGATCAAGTGTTGTTGAGTAAGGGGACTGTCACCCAATTGATCGATCAGAAAGTCAGAGAGAATGGAGATTGGGCCGTCAACGTGTTTTGGCCAAAGATTGAGAAAGAATTCATGGAGAGGCTTAACCAAGACTCTGTCCTTCCAACTCTTGTCGAAGATGCAATCAAAAAGTCGCCACTTGTTGTTGATAGTGCTGTTCGAAAGTATATCAACCAAAGCCCACACTTCGCGCCTAAGGAGGGTTCCGCTTCCCCTACCTCAGGTTTCAGTTCCGATGCCGAGGTCCCTTCACTTAGCGTACCAGACTATGCCTCCCTTCTTACTGGGGGAAAAATTTCCCCTTGGGCAACATCACCAACATTTGAATGGTCAAGTAACAAAAACCGTTGGTTCTACGCTGTTTTTGGTAAACGACGCGGTGTTATCGCACAGCCTACAGTTGCAATCACTCCTACGAGCGACGTCGGCCAGTGCTGGCCCTTCCCTGGTGACCAAGGTAATATTGGCGTCAGGCTTGCGTTACCTATTTTTGCTACTCAGATCTCAGTCGAACATATCCCGAAATCCCATGCGGTTGATATCTCATCTGCGCCTCGAAAAATCGAGTTTTGGGCTCAGTTTGAGGATGCTGAGACCAGAGAGAGAGCAGAGAAAGCTGCGGCAAGGGCGTTGAATGAAATTGAGTGGTCAAAAGACAGGCTATGGGACCGCGACAGCACATCATCGCCTCCAGGACCTAGTGGGACCTTGTACGACAAGTTCGTCAAGCTGGGTGTGTTCAAGTACGATATCAACTCGGGAAATCCGAGGATCCAAACCTGGGATCTTCCTGTTGATTTGGTCAACTTGAACATTACTACTCAGCTCGTTGTCTTCAAGGTTATCAATAATTGGGGTCACCCGGATTACACATGTTTATACCGTGTGAGAGTCCATGGAAAACCACAGATGGTACCTAAAGTGATGGATGAGCAGGACCTCGACGCGGGTAAAAGGGCCATTCCTATTCATCCCTATCAGTATTAGAGTGTGGGAATTGTAGTTGGCGTATAAAAAAATATACCTGTATGTGGGGGAGGGGGGAGTTTATCTTTGAGCTTTTTAAGCATTTTCACTTTCTTATTTATAACTTTAACCTGTGTATCTCCTAATTCCCGTTCGTTATTATATCCTTTGGGGGCAGAAACCCCCCACTTTGTGAATTCGGTCATTGGATCATTGACATCGCGCTTTTAGGTGACGTGCAGCTTGCAGCTTACAGCTTTTTCATTTCTTGTTTCTGTTTATTCTTTTGTCAGTGTGTTTGGAATTTTATTTGTTTGTTTAGGGCATGTAACAGGAGAATAGGTGTTTTTGCTTTGCGTTTGCTGTTTTTAGTTTTACGGGCCTTTAAAGTTCAATACCACTTACTGTTGACTGCGGTCTTAAGTCTTGGTTTTGTATACATTCCTTAGTATTCTGCGGGGATTTTTTTTTGGGGGGGGTTGGCTTGAGGACGGAGTTGGAGACGGGCTTGGAGTCGGAGACGGTGGTTTTTTTTCTTTTTTCCCTTCCTTTTTGTAATCCATTTCTTCCCCTTCAAAACTTGCTGTGTTGGATCACTCCTACTGCTGAACATCATTAATTAATTAACCATCTTTTTCTTTTTGTTTTTCTTTATAGAGGATATGTAGAGAGAAGGGGCGAGTGTAGCCAAAGATCGTTTACTTTGAGCTCTGAGGGGAGGATTTGTTAGCTACGTGTCATCGATGCCTCAAGGGATTGAATATATTCTGGAGTGTGGTGGAATATCCCATGGCCATGGACAGATCTTTCTTAATCATTATTTGCGTATTGATTTTCTTGCAGCCACTGGAGCTAGCTAGTTTATATGCGGACTAATTTTATCAACCCTCGATCTCTGTAAGCTTGTTCGATTTGATTTTTAAAAAGAGATAATTGAGTTCGTTACCCAGGATTCCCACATGGTCACCCACTGCAGTACTAACTAGGCGATATGTTGATTATGTATGGCAGAGCGGACGGGATGCCCAGTTTTCAACATTCTATGAACGAACACGGCAGTAGAGCCATGATTGAGAAATTTAAAAGCATAAATGTGTGGGCGATTGATGGCGTGAATATTTTTTTGGCTTAATTCATTAATTTTGATGGCGTGAGTAGTCTACAATGGTTGATGAGAAGTACAGTGACTCACATTTCAGCTTTAGCAGGAGAGCGTTGTGGTGGCAGTCCTCCATACATGCACCTGTTCATGTCGAGTGATAATCCGTGAATTAATTGATTGTGGTTCTCGTAATAGTGCGCAGTCCTAATTACAGCTACGGTAATGTTTAACATTCACCTAGTACCACGAGACGCAGGAGGCCGGAGAGTTACGATGTATCATAAACTGAACAGATCTATCATAGTTTAAGAACTAGAGGACTGTAGTCCCGCAGTAAGGGGAGGATATATGTCACCGCAACTCGACAGGATCAATCTTTTTTGGCGTGCCCCCCCACCTACCACCGCAAATAACGACAGACACAAGAGGAACGATATGATGTCTGACAAGTCCCCCGAGAAAGGCAAAAGGAGACCGACGAACAGGTAAGAAAACCATTGAAACCCATCGAAGGGGATTTCGAATATAGGAGGTTATCTTCAACGCTAGAAAGGTTTCTGCAAGAACCTATCTCTATAAATACATGTACGCTCATGATATAGTGGACGACCCGCACCCCAGGGCTGCGAGTTGTACTCACTCTCTACTAGATTTAAATTATGTATAACTACTTACTAATAGTGCCGTGATAGACGGCCTAAGAGAAGGGGGCGGCCCAAAAGCATGACAAAAGGTCCGGCCTACCTACGCACTACCTGGATTTCAAATCACAACATGTGCTATTATTAGTGATGATAAATCCGAAGCAAAGACGCCTAGATTCTAAATCATACATTCACTACCGCAATTTGACAAAGCTATAAAACACCTGATAAATAGAATAAACCAAGCGAATGTAATTGAAGACGTATCTTCAACGACCAGTTAAAGGTGTCAAAAACGCGTGAATTTATTTCTCCGCAAGTTCTCCCAACAACTTAACGACACTCCGGACTCCCTGCAGGGCATTCTCGTCGGGCCCTTCACCAGGAGTCCAGGTCGCATGAGCGAAATCAATCAATTTCAAAACTTCGATCTTCTTTTCCTTGGTTTCCACTTCATCCTCCTCTTCCTGATCCAGCTCTTCCTGGGTCTTTGGTGGTTTTTTCGCGTTTTCCTCCTCTTCCTTCAACGCCTCATCCAAAGCCGCCCCATCACCTTCATACACAAAGAGCAACGATGCAGAGTACATCCTACTCTCTATACCTTCCAACACAGCTTGGATCTCCGCTACCTTTTCTTTAAATCTCTTCGCGAGAAGCCGCATCTGGGATTTTGAGATGTCGCTATCAAAGTACTCCTGGATAGCTTCGATGACGGTCTCGGCCGTGTAGGTCCTGCCGTATTGTTTATCGTAAACTCTGTAGTATCTCTTGACTTCAGATCCCTCGGTGGCCTTCTTCCACACCTTCATACCTGCAATCCTCATGCCTAGGCTCTTTGAGGTTGTTTTCTCGCTCACAGCGTCTAGACGGACCCGCTTGTCCTGGGGAGCGTCATTGTCCCAGAGCTGAGCACCGAGTTTGATATCCAGCACGCAAGGCTTAATGAAGCCGTGGGTAGTGTTCTGGAGGACGATGGACTTGCTACGGTTGTTGGATGGGGTTATGCCGTCAGGGTCAGGGATAGAGTCGGAGAGTTCGAGAGTGCCGAAGAAGGTAGGCATCCATATGGCGAGCTCAGGGTGTGTGGCAGCGGACTCGTAGAAAGAGACTTCACGGGCGGTACATGGCTTGATAACCAGAGCACCGGATTCATCTGAAAGAACACCATCGCTGTTGTCCATGTTAGCTGTTATAGACGAGAAAAGTTGGGAGTTTCATAGTTTTGAGGTGGATATGATTCCAGAGTGGAGAAGGGTATAAATGACGTCCTGTGAGCTAAGGCTTAGTGTTCAGGTATGGTTGATACCCAGAGCGCGTGGAAAAACAGAGAACTTGGGAAGTAAAATACGCTGACAGAAATTATCATCACTTACTGTCCGGCAGCCGCCAGGTCAAACGCCTTAAGGTCTGAAGCTTTGAGTCCCTCAACAGAAGTAGCCATATTGAAAGATTCTAGTGTCTGGTATCTGGTATCTTGTAGATGTAGTTGTATGAACTGATGTATATGTCATGTAAGTACAAGAAAAAGCCGGGAAATTTGGGTATTTATGGGAGTTCTACCCCAGACCGGACTGCCCAGAAATTCGGAATTCGGAATGTGGGCGAGGGGTTTAACAGCTACCCCTCCACTAGCGCAGCAACGTGCATGAAGCGCTATCCCACTACAAAATCACGAGCAAACACACCTATCGGCGGCCTTCATCCAGGCATCCCACATAAAAAGTGTCGCTGGCCTGAGCTTCATATCCACGGGCAAGTAATAAAGCATTTAGAGCAGGATTGGCAGTTAACGCTGTCACGGTGTAACATGGTAGGTGGGGCGTAAACGAAGAAATGCGTCTTGGCAGGGCATCCAACATTATCTTTCCTGCACTGCGTAACATCATGTTTGTGGGGAAAAAAAATATCCTTGGTGTTGAAGTTAGGCATCCCGTGGGAATAGTGTGAATAAATATCGTAGCGTGAACCGGATAATGGTGTTCACTTTTCTGGTTCTCCAGCTGCTTAGATTTGTTTACCTCCTCGCCCAACCCTCACTTGCTACTTAAAGTACCACAAACCTACTAAACCCACCAACAGAGAGCAACATCCCATTCTTCTTTCTCGAAACCACAATCATGCCTCTCGAGGATACTGCAGCGTCAGCTCTAAACGCTTCAACTAAAAATGGGAATCTAACTGCTATAGCTGAAGAATTGGCTGATGGTGTCAACATAGCCGCCAACGGTCCCAAGCCAACAGTTGAAGAGCAATGGCAGGGCCCTGAGGGCCACGACGACAAAGAGAATGGAGTTGTTGATGTAGGAGAAGATGATGATGCAAACAATGCTACACAGGTTCTAGAGGAGGATGCCCCCAAGAAAAAGAAGAAGAAGAAGAGAAAGCCAAAAAGTGCTAGGAAAAATGTAAGTTTGTATGATGAATTGCGTGGAGCTTTTGCACCTATGCTAATTACTATATAGCCTCCTCCAACCGGGTTTGAAGGTTTGTGTCATTCTATCATTGAAACCTTCATCTAAATACAGGCACTGACCCTCATAGACAATATTGTCGATGGGCCTTTCCCACCTGAGATTGTGTCTCTTGAAAATGATCTTTACAGCCCGTAAGTATCTCCACACAAAATCTCAAGTACTCGACTAACATCCCATAGCTCTAAGTCTTTCGCTGAGCGTATTGAGACTTGTATTCAACGATACCGCGCCAAGCGCAAATTTGACCCCGTCCGCCTCCAAATCTTCACTTCATACCTCAATCTTGGTGGTGTCTCTACTGGTCCCAAAGCTTACTCTGGGGGTGTCGATCCTAAAAATGTCGATGGCCTTGACGCAGAGACCATACAAGCCATGGCAGCGACTGAATTTGTGGACAAAGATGACGAGGACTCGGAATGGGAGATTGACTTTGAATATGTTGTTAAGGGTTTTCTTAGCCATAGGGTTCCTTATGTGCTAGGGTACATGAGATTCGAGGATTTGGAGCTGAGTGCGAAAGTGGTCAGAAACTTTCTCAACTACGTGAGTAGCATTAGTAGCCCCATTGCCTATTATATAGCTTGCAAGCAAGTAAGTACTAATAAACTCTAGATCATCTACCACAACGTAGCTCCAGAGCACAATGAATCCATCCGTTCTGCGATTGCAATCACCGAACTTGGTGAGAAAGAGCTAATTCTCTGCCGTCAAGTTTCCGCGCGTTTGCCAGGAAAATTCAACATGGCTTGCTCCACCCTTTATGATGGATACTATTCAGGCATTAAGGATGAATCGCTCACCTGGAGTGGCGGTGCCCACTCCGATATCGGACTCACAGATTTCGAGGCCGTTCAGATCGTCAAAGCTTGCCTCGAGAAACGTGGCGCTGCGTTGCAGATAGAGACGGGGCCCAGGATGAAGCTTCTCAAAGCGGAATATCTCTCCTTGGAGGTCATTGGGATTGTGTTTGCGGGGACGAGTGGTGTAAAGAAACCACTCCCAGAACATATTCAGAAGGACATCGATGAGGGTGTCATCAAACCAAGGCCCGATATTGATGAGCCGATCGCCGTGGATATATCTAAAAAGAAATATGAACCTGTGGGGCTCAATGCGCTCGGGAAGCTTCTGGTAAAGGTGTGGTGCCCTGAGGGCCCGGAGGAAACTGAATGGCCAGACACCGATTTGGATGAGTTTGAGATCTGGCTGGAGATGGAGGTTTTACAGTATTGCTTTGTTGGGATGCATCTAGAGGCAAAGGTACACACCATGAGTAATGGGATCATCTGGATCGATAGCGTTACTGTGAGTGCCCCTAATTCTGATGGAATAAAGACTGGATTGCTGATTTTAAGTAGGGTGTTCAATGCTCTTTCTATCTCCAGTTGGATTCTCCGGATAAGGAGAGTGAGGATGAGTTTGATTAGAGCTTGGGTGTTATTTTCTATTTAGTGGCTTTTCTTTACTGGTTTCCTATCTTTTTTAGTTTGAAATGTTTTTTTTTTTTTACTTTCGACAATGAGCGTAGGGTATGGGTAGTTATTTCAGTGGTAGTCTCCTTTTTTATTTCCTCGGGAATAACAAAGTGTACAAAAACAAAAACAAAAAAAGAATACCTGAATCCACAATTAAATGGGGTGCCTAAAACGAGCGAGTGACCACCCATGCAACGGGCTATCCCGCTCCTCTGCCAAGGCACATTACCCGGCACAAAACCATATCTAAAAATTTCACGCACAAGTCGTCCATCCCCCAATTTCCAACCAACCAACCAACCCCAACCAAACCAAAGTACATCTACCAATCCTCCACCGCCACCATCAATCAAGATGCATTTGATGTACACCCTCGACGCCGCGGGAAACCGCATCTACACCCTCAAGAAGATCACCCCCTCAGGTGCTGTCACAAAGAGCGCACACCCCGCGAGGTTCTCGCCGGACGATAAGTACTCTCGGTATGCTACCCCCCCTCTTTACGTTTTTTGTGTTGTGTTGGAGAGAGAGAGAAAGGCTTTATATGATGAGACCTTGTGAAGCGTTCGGAGCGGCCATAATAGTGGTCGTGATGACGACGCAAAACATAAAAAATATATCCAATTGTTCCTTCTGATACCTGTGCTTTTTTTTTTCTCTCTCTCTCTCAATTCCCTTTTTTGTGTGTCTTGCTTCGATGCAGGGTTTAATGCAAGGGGGCAATTGGCTAACGGCGTGGGTGGGAAATAAAGACACAGAGTCACGTTGAAGAAGAGGTTTGGCATCTTGATGACGCAGCAGTGTATGTTCTCCCCTCTTCTCTCTCTTCTTTTTAACTCATGAAATGCAATTGCGATTGCTGACGGGGGTCATGGTAATAGCGGAGCAGAAGCCGTGGTAGAGAAAACAGGACCCTGAGGGAGTCGACTCGGTTGGCCGCATGGCATTTCTTGCCATGCGCACCGCGCTGGACTGGACTGTGTTCATATAAAAAGCGGGCTCGGAAAATCAAGAGCTGCTGCCCCCCGCGGGGGTATATAATTCATCTGTTGTTGTTTTTTTCTTGGGGAAAAATTTGGGAGGCGTTTTTTGGGCGTGTAACTTTTTTTTTTCTTTCTTTTTTTTTTTCACTTTGACTTGCAATTGGGAGTAGGAGTGACTTCAATGGGAGTGAATGGATGGATGGATGGATGGATGGGTGGGCCATGATTTGATATATGTGACCAATTGGTGTGCTCTGGTAAAGATTTTACTTTCCGTAAAGTTTTGCTTTCGTAGAGTGAGGCTTTGGGTTGCAATTGGGCCTTTAGGGACGGAAATCATCGTAGATGCCCGTTCACGTTTCTCGCTCGGAGTTTCGACGAGATGGACGTCGACGGGTGTTCACGTGAGGTCGTGCAGAGATTTTTTTTTTTTTTTTTTTTTTTTTTACTTTAAAAAAAGGTTTACATGGATGGCGAGGATCTGAATCTCACGCTCATGCTTCTCATGCAAAAAAAAAAAAAGAGCAAAAAAAGCGGGCAGTCTCTAGTTTACCGTCCCATGGACTCTCTCTCTCTCTCTGTTTCTACCACTCTCGCTCTCTACAGCAAGAACAACCAAAAGAGCCCCCAAAACCGATATGTATGTCGGTCACCTCTGACACTGATTCCAGGCCACCAAAAGGCCCGGCCAGTTCTTAAAAGTGACCCTGTAGTTCCTCTACGGGTTCTCAAGATCACATCGCCGGCAACTGGCCCCGCCTTGCAGCAGAAGAAACCTGTGCGAGGCGGGTATTGCAATGGCTTTGCACTGTCTAGATTGGACCCAATGATTTCTGAGGAAAGAAGTTGGGAGATGGGGGGTTGTGGGTGGTATTTATACTGCTGAGGAGAGCGCGGCTTGGCGGGGTGGAGGGAGGGTGTGGACGGGTTACCCGGACGGGAGAGAGAGAGAGGCGCGAATCCCTGGATCTGTTGGTGCACTCACTCGCTGTATGTATATATTTATATGCGCCCACTCACAGCTCCCCCCCCCAGCTGCAGCGGCACCACCCACAACCACAAAAACAACAATTAACAATGGAAGACACAATCTACACGACCTCGACGCAGTACCGTCTCTTCACGTACACGCCCCAGCAGCTCTCGGACCTGCGCCATGCCACGAACCGCGCCGCCGCAGAGAAGATCACGGCCTCCATCAGGGCCGCGCGCGCCGCCACCGGCAGTGACGCTGACCGCGACGACAATGACGCAGAGGAGGAGGAGATTGATTGCCCGACGGCGGAGGAGGAGTTGAAGCTTGTGGCGTACTATTGTGTCAAGTGCATGCAGCTATCGGATCATTTTAAGTTTCCGAGCGCGGTCAAGGTGGGTCTCCTTCTCCCTCCCTCCCCCTCCAGCTCTCCCCTCCGGCTCTCCCGGGCGGGCTGAGCTGTCGGTCATAGAGGGGATAGGTCCATAGTGAGCCAACACAAAAACAGGCGACCGCACTCACCTTCCTCCACCGCCTCTACCTCACCACCAGCACACTCACCCTACACCCCAAGAAGCTCCTCCTCCCCATCCTCTACCTCGCCACCAAGACCGAAAACTACTACACGCCCATCGACCGCTTCATCGCCACGGCACTCACCGCCGGCACAACAATCACAAAAGACGACCTGCTCTCGCCCGAGTTCAAGATCGCAATGGGCCTCCGCTGGGCATTCCAGATCTGGCACCCCTTCCGCGGCCTCGAGGGCATCTTCCTCGAGCTCAACGCAATGCACCAGGGCACCTACGCCTCGCCCGCGCGCCTGCCCGGCGAAGCCGAGGACGCCAAGCGCCGGCTGGAGGAGTTGGTCGGCGGGGCGGGCGCCAATGAGGTGGTTGCGCGGATTGGAAGGGCGCATGGGGAGGCGAGGGCGATATTGACGAGTACGGCGCTGCTGACGGATGTGTATTTCCTGTACACGCCGCCGCAGATCAGCTTTGCGGCGTTCCTGGCTGCGGATAGAGCGTTGGCGGAGATGTATCTGGATGTCAAGTTTCCCGAGGGGAATGCGGCGGCAGAGGCGACGAAGAGGAAGCTGTTGAAGGTGGTGGGAGAGTGTGCGGAGCGGCATCTGTCCGGGAGCATCACGAGGGACACGCCGAATCCGTATCCGGGGTTGTGTCTGCAGTTGCCGCAGAATGGGGTGGCGACGTCGGTGTTGGCAAGTCTGGATAAGGGGCTGGTGAAGGAGGTGACGAGGGTGGATAAGAAGTTGTACCATGTGACGAATCGGGACAGGAAGGCGAATGGGAATGGGAATGGGAATGGGAATGGGAGTGGGAGTGGGAGTGGGAGTGGGGCGGGGAGGAAGGGAGAGAGGGAGAGGGAGGGGAATTATGAGGCGGGCGCGGCGGAGGAGGAGCGGAAGGCGAAGAAGAGGAGGTTGGAGAGGGAGAAGCTGGCGAGGGATGGGGACGTGTTTGGCGGCGCGCTGCATCCGCCGCAGGAGTAGATGACCGGGTTAATTAGAAAATTGTGTATTTTATATAGAGGAGCGTTACTGGGGTTGGCGAAATGATTCCCTTTTTTTGTTTTCTTCTTTTCTCTTTTCCTCCCCCTTCCTTTCTTTTCTTTTTTCTTTCCTTTTTGTGCGTTGGCCTGGCCTTCTCTTTGTATGTATATAAGATAAACATATTGCTAATTGTTGCCATTATCTTTTTCTGTCTTGGGGGTTTACGGGTTTGGGTTGTTGTGGTAAGTGAGTTGGGGGGGGGGGGGAAGGGATTGGATTGGTACGGACCGTTGAAAGAAGCAGATGTCGAGTCGAGTCATGAGATATCACTCATGCAGCGGAAAGTTTGATGTTTACGTAAAAACAGCACAGCTAGCTTCGGCCCGCCCAGGTAACGGAATGCGGGCCCGCCACATCTCTAGCAAACGAGTCCCATACATGTACTCCTCTTGACCTTTTATTTCGAACCTACTACTTATATGTACCTGCATCATATTATAGGTACGAACTACATGTACACATACAGCGTAAATCAATAAGCTACCAAAGCCCGTTTATTCGCGGTAAAGTAACGAAAAAAATGTAAAGATGGAATATGGTCTGATTCGGATAGGACTAGATAGTATGTAGGGTATGGTATGGTAGAAATCAAGAAGTATTATATAGAGAAACCTCTCCCAGCAATAGTAGAAGCCTCAAAAAGAGGCATCCTCTGGCTACGTTGGGTATGAGCCTTTGAGCACTGTTAATTGGAACTTGGCTTGGGGTAGAGTATAGAGGCTAACGCAGAGATGGCCATTCTCAAAGAACGGAGAAGCACCCCAGAGGGAATAGAAAGTGGTCTTAGTAGCGGTGTCCTCAGTCTAGCCTAACTAGACGTGTCACCTTTATGTGTATAAGTAGACGGGCTTTTGTCCTCCTTCGTAAAAGAACCATACGTCCTAATATTATCTATTGAGCCTCCGTCACAGTGAGCATCAAATCTGACCATCCAGCACGATTACCGGAGGCACAACTACAGACAGCTATCAGATTAGCTCCTACCACTCTCTCGAATCTTTTACACTACGCAATCCTACCTCATCCTCATTCTCTCAAGTCCAGCTAGCCCTCAACACCCAAACAGCCACGAAACAAGGCACTCAAAGCTCCCAAGACACCATTCACCCAACGGCTCCTGATTCTCTGTTTCGTCGCTGATGGTGTCGATAACTGTTTAGAAGTACTACACCTCACTACGGAAGTGTCAAGATGAAAGACGAATACATACATTTAGTGGTACGACCCTGGCGGTGTCTGCAATCACACGATATCTGCATCATGTGCTCTCACTCGCACATCTCAAGCGACAAGAACGTCACAGCACTAAGCAGGAGGGAAGATAAACACACCGGGCACCATTACTCACTATTGGAGCTTCAGAGACACCCTTTTACCCAGCCAGTTGAGCATACCTACCGAACTGGTAAAGTGCTCCATCTTTAAGTAGCCACACAGCATCACTCACCATCACTCGCTGGATAGTCGCACGTCAGTAGTCAACAGACGCCGAGGCAACAACCCCTAGATGCATGGTGCCCGATATAAACCAAATATCTACCCCACTGGAATATCCTTAGAGACCAGAGAAAGACTCACCTGTGTCTCTCTACACCTCGGCTCCACCTTCCCTCCGGCGGTCCTCAGCCTCGGTTCGGCTTGACATGTCGCACGGTATGACCCGCACATCGGACGATTAGTGATCTGTGTCATATGTACTGCAGCCCGCCATATCGAGAGATCCTCATCTCGTCTTCTTCTTCTCCTTCTTCTCATCCTTCTGTCTGTAGAAAGAATTCGTTCTTTGCTTGTCCACTCCTTCACTTTCTCTCTTGCAGGCCAGCAGACTGCAATTGTGCGGTTCTTACCTAGCAGTTGCTTGTTTCCTCCGGACCTTACGTAAACCCTCACAGCTTTTTACTCTACAAAACCACCCCTCTCTCCCACTTCTCGCACCTAGACAGACATGAGCATGCTCACGCTCCGCCGTCTAGTACGAAGTACCTCAACCCATTCCCTCCTCCCCCACTAAATCCAATCCAATCCGATCCCACCCCTCCCTTTTCTCTCCCTCTCCCTCTCCCTCTCCCCCTCTTCCTCTTCTCCACCAAACACCTACTCACCCCCCACTCACTCACAGCCATGGCCACCGCCCCGCATCCCACCAGCTCCCTCCCCCCCACCACCCCCCCGCTCCAAATCCACACCACAATCACCTCACTCCGCGCCTGGCGCCACACCCAACTCCTAGCCTCCCGCACCGTCGGCTTCGTCCCCACCATGGGCGCCCTACACGCCGGCCACCTCTCCCTCATCCGCGCCGCCGCAACCGCCCACCCCGCCGTCTGCGTCTCCATCTTCATCAACCCAGCCCAATTCGCGCCGCACGAGGACCTCGCCCAGTACCCGCGCACCCTCAGCACCGACATCGCGCAACTCGAAGCCCTCAACGCCAGCCTCCCTGAGGGCGCCGGCCGAATCGAGGCCCTCTTCCTCCCCGCCGTGGCAGAGCTCTACCCCGGCGGCATCCCGCTCGAGCAGGACAAGCAGCGCGGCGCCTTCGTGACGGTCGTCGGCCTCGGCGAGCAGCTTGAGGGCGTCACCCGCCCGCACTTCTTCCGCGGCGTGGCGACAGTGTGCACAAAGCTGTTCAACGCGGTGCAGCCCGACGCGGCATATTTTGGCCAGAAGGACGTGCAGCAGACGGTCGTGCTGAAGCGCCTGGTGAGGGACCTGTGCATGCCCGTGGAGATCCGCGTGTGCGAGACGGTGCGCGAGGGGGAAGACGGGCTCGCGATGAGTAGTCGCAATGTGTATCTGGGCGAGAAGCGGCGGGCCGTGGCGGGCGGGCTGTATAGAGCGCTGAGGGCGGCGGAGGGGGCGTATATGGGTGGTGCGACGGAGCGGGCGGTGGTGCTGGGCGCGGCGGAGGAGGTGTTGCGGGGGGTGGGCAGGGAGGAGGGCGTGGAGGTGAGGATCGAGTATGTTAGCTTGACGGATGGCGAGGAGCTGCAGGAGCTGCAGACGCTGGATGGGAGGGGGGGCGCCATACTGAGTGGGGCCGTGAGGATGATGCCGACGGGGGAGGGAGAGGCGCCGGTGAGGATTATTGATAATATCATCTTTAAGGCTAGATAGAGAGCTAGAGGTTCTTCACTGGGGGACGGTGTGTGTATGTAGGTAGTGGAAAGTTATGCTTAGAGTGATACCTAATGGGATTTAGTGAGTGTGAGAGGTGTTGAGTGTAAGAGTATTGAGGAGAGTGGAGTAGAGTTGGCCCTGTCTGTCCTGTCCTGTCCTGTCCTGTCCTGTGGTGTGCTGGACGTTGGCCATGGGTCTGGGTCATGTGTGGCTGTTGATGGCATATGTACAGACAGGTCCCCGTCCGGAGTGCATGAGTGTAGGCAAGCAATCAAGCAAGCAAGCAAGCAAGATCTGACTGAAAGAGCGGAGTAGAGTAGTCCAAGAGTAGGAGCAATGAAAGAAAGAGAAAGAAATAATAAACTCCAAAAAAGATCCGACCCATAAGAGAATGTGAGAAGAGAAAGAAAGAAATGAGAGAGAGAAAATATAGCCTATGAGGAACAATCCACAGCCGAGTGACACTTCATGATGCACACCCCCCAGCTTCCACAACCATGACCACCATAGCCTCCAGCTCCTCCATCAGAGCTTCACAACCCACAATCCCTCTACCACACCAAATCCACATATCCACCCACCTACATCCATCAAACCCCACCACCAAAAATCAAAAAAAAAGAGAAAAGAAACAAAACGCCCTACTATCTTTTTTTTATCTCTCCCTACCTCCCTCCCTACCTGCCTACCTACAACACTTCATACATGCACAGCTAAGTAAAAGAAAAACATACATAACCTATCCCACCCTATCCACCATCAGACAAAGTCCCCAAACGCATCATCGTCAAATCCCAGCTTCCCGTCAAACCCAATCTTGCTAAAGTCCTCCAGCCCATGCTGGCTCATGCGGTTGCGCTTCACATCCTCCGCGCTCGGCGGCGGCGGCAGGAACGGCAGCGCCCCACCACTGCCGCCGCCGCCGCTGTCGGAAGACGTTTTCGGCGATGAGGGTGCTCGGCGGCGACCTTTGTTCTGTTCGCACCCCAACCAACTAGATCAGCACAACACATTCCTCCCTCAATTGACCTCTCAGACACTTGTATAGACATACCCCAATGGTGATATTGATCGTCTCGCCCTCCTTCAGACTATAGTCCTTCTTCTTCTCCGCCGCGGCCGCCGCCTCATCCGTCTTCTTCCCGCGCTTTCCAGCACCAGCACCGCCGCTGGCAGCGCTCTCGGCGTGCCGCCGTATCTCCTGCAGGCTGACGCCGAAATCGAAGGCCTCGCTGCGCTCCTCGAAGCCGATGCCGAGCATGGCTTTGCGGCCGCTGTCGACGACGCGGACGGCAAAGAAGCGGGAGCTGTCGGTGACTTGCTCGACGCAGTGGGCGCCCTGGTTGCTGCGTCAGCAGCTGCGGTGTGGGGGCGGTGGGGGGGAAAGGGAGAGGGTTGGGGGGGGGGGGGGAGGTTACTTCGTAGGGGCAGTTAGCAAAGAGGTCGCCTGTTTTGGGGTCCTCGAGGCGCACGTCGGTGCGGACGTTTTCGTTCTCGGCGCCGTCGGCGGAGAGTGTGGCCGTCTCGATGATGCGGATGCGGGCGGTGAAGATGAGGCTGTTGGGCTGGTCGACGTTCCATGTTGCGGCTTTGTGGCCGGTGTTGGAGGTGAGCGGTGGGACGGCGTAGATGTGCACTTTGGGCGCGAGGAAGAGGATTCGCTGGATTTCTTCCGACATTGTGGGGGATGTAGTGGAATGGGGGATTGGATTGGGGGAGTGGTATGGAGGAGTGGTGGATGTGTGGATGTGTGGATGTGTGGATGTGTGGATGTGTGGTGGGATGGGATGGGATGGGATGGGATGGGATGGGGGAGAGAGCTGTGTGGTGAGGGTGTGGTTTGTGTACGACGGGTGGATGTAGCTCTGGCTGGGTGGTGGATGCTGCTGTGTGGAGTGCTGTGTGGAGTGCTGTGTGTGCTCGTGTAGCTGTGCTCTCCGTGGTGATACTCACAGCTGTGTGACGGCACTGACAAAGACGGGCAGACACGCGGTTGGCTGTGGAGCAAGAGCTTAGTAGCAGCAGCGAATAGCAGTAACAATCTCAGTCAACACTGATAGGCAGTCAACTATTGTACCTAGTCGCAGCAGTAGCAGTATCAATCTCAATAGCAGAGAGCTAGGTACTCTACAAATCATCTCCTCTCCCCGTACTTTCCCTCCCGCCCGTGATGCGCTGGCACACACACACACACAACACCCCAAAAAAAAACAAAAGTGCGGCGGTCGGTCGCAAATGCTTGTGTCGTGTTTGTTGCCCCGCGCTAGCACGCTTTGGGGAGAGGGGCAACTTTTTATTAATATGGCGCGGCAGAGGGGAGACCACTGACTGCAACATCGTCACCGACACCGACACTCACTCGCTCGCTCGCTCGCTCACATATACCTCGTTTATTCGCAGCAGCCACAGCGGTTGTGATAGTGCTGTCTTGTCCTGTAATAGGTTGTTATATACTGTCTTTTGCTGGTTTATGGATGACGGGCTGGGTGCGGGATGGGATGGATGAGTGGGATGGGGGTGGTAATGATCGAATGCTAACTTCCTCTGCAAAGCTTGCGACGCGAGCCCCCAGTGCCATTCTATTCTGCTAGACATCCGGCCACAGTAGCTGTAGCCCGCCCGTACCCGCCAGATAGCTCCAGCTGTCCTTCTATCCCGCCCGTCATGCCGGAACCCTTTCCTTGTAAGTTCTCATCGTCATCGTCATCATCATCATCATCAACATCACAGCATCTCACTCTGTCATCTTCGTTTCTGTCTCTCATTCTATCTGTGCATGTTTCTCTGCTTGCATTGTGTTCCATCTGCATCCCATCTGTCCACATCCCCATCTCTCTCTACATCTACGACCTCATCTATCCATCTCCATAAACCCCCCAATCTCATAAATTCCCCATCTCCATAAACTCTCCATTTATACATCCACATCTCTATATTTCCATCCCCTCAATACCCAACTACCCACCATGTTCAACGTCCATCCAGCCCACGACCGCCGTGCCCGCAACTCCTCGCTCACTCACCCCTCCACAGACACCTCCCCCGCCCCGGGGATCGTCTACAGCACCGCCATGGGACAATTCGACATCCGTAGCTACTACTCCCGCCTTCTCTCAGAGGACAGCACCAAATCCATGCCCATCGCCGCCATGGAGTCCCTCTCTGCGCTCTGCGACGCCTCCAAGGCCACCACCATCCACGAGCTCCTCTCCTCCATCGAGATTGGCAGCAAGGCGCTCATCGCCTCCGTGCCCAACAGCATCTCCCTCACGGCCGGTTGTGCCATGTTCACCAAGTTCATCTCCGCCCACACCCACGACGACCCCCGCGATTTCGGTGCCTTCAAGAAGAAGCTCCAGGAGAACGGACATCTGTTTGCTCAGAGTGCGAGGGAGGCGAGGTTTAAGATTGCAGCGCTGGGCGTGGGAATGCTGAGGGATGGGGAGGTGGTCATGGTCCATGGGTATTCAAGGTGTGCGGTGGGCATTTTGAAGTTGGCGGCGCAGAGGAACGTGAGGTTTAAGGTCATTGTGACGGAGACGAGGCCGAGCTGTCAGGGGACGAAGCTGGCGGTGGAGCTTAGGGCGCTTGGTGTTCCTGTAGCTGTCATTGATGATAATGCCGTGGCTTATGCTATGAAGAAGTGCCGCTCTGTGCTGATTGGGGCAGAGAGTATCTTTGCGGATGCTTCTATTATCAATGTTGTAAGTTGCTTTTCCCATTCTTCCGCTTGCCTGAAAGTGAATCTCAAAACTTCTGCACGTACTCTCTCCATCCCACGCATACTCATATCCCAACCCCCCCACACATGCTCACATACCCGTATCTCACTCGCACATACGCTCGTTCTCAATTGTACACATACTCCTAATTGCACACACCTGTTCCCAGTTGCACATATATTCGTTCCCACTTGCACACATACTTGTTCCCAATTGCACATATACCTGTTCTCAATTACACATATTTATTCCCAATCACACACACACACGCACTCATTCTCAATTACACATCCTCGTTCCTGACTACACATGTGCATACTCGTGCCCAATTACACACATATCCACATACCCACATCCCAATCCCAACCCCCGTACTCCCTCTATTCCCATACCCACTCTCAATCTTATATACATACTAACCCCCCCCCCCCCCTCTCTCTGTAGATGGGCACGCACCAAATCGCACTCGCCGCCAAAAAGTACCACAGAAAAGTCTACGTGGCCACCGAGACACACAAGTTCGTTGACAACTTCCCGCTCGACCAGTTTGACATCCCGATCGAGCAGGACGTCATCAACTTTGATCCGCCGGCGGGCTTTGACGGGCCCATGCCGCAGACGGAGCTGGGGTTTGTGGATTATACGGAGCCGCAGTTTATCGATGCGTTTATTACGGAGGTGGGACTGTTGACGCCGGATCAGGTGGCGGAGAGGATTGTGGCTATGAGGTTCCAGTAGTGGGATGGGGGGTGGGGGAAGAGGGGGGGAGGGGAGGGGTAGGGGTAGGGGGGTAAAGGGGGTATTGGAGGCCAGAGGGGGATTGGCGTTATGGGCTTTTTTTTTACGTTGATTCTTTTTTCTCTCTTTCTTTTCTTGCTTCTATGGTTTTTTAGAAGGTGGGGTGGGTGGGGGGTTGGTTCTGTGGTGCTCTTTTATTTTTACGCTTTCTTTCGATTGCCGCTTTACTACTACTATATCTGTGTTTTTCTTCTGTGCTTTTCCAAAAGTAAACAAAAAGTTCATGGGGACTTGTTGAGACTGGGGCGTGGACGCGGTTGGGTTGTGTAGATGGACCTAGCTGAGATGCCAAGGGGGCAGTAGTTACAGGTGGTGTGGTTAGGTAGTAGTGGAATGGGATGAGACGTATATTCACAAGCTTTGGTGGTACGAGTGAGTGGTGTTTGGTGCGAGTGAGAGATTGTGATGCCAATGTCCCCTTTCACCCGTGACTTGACCTGATTGTGGAATGTATAGGTGTATGAGCTATGGTAGCTCTATGTCTACATATAGGGACGGTGTAGATGCGGGGTTTGTTGGTGGGTTTATAGAGCTCTTGCTGCGAGAGCAGAGGAAGGATACGGACTTGGAACGAATGTAGTAGCTGGCGAGAATAGGTAAGGCTCGATTGCTGGCCTGGATGACTTGACCAAGCTACTCATGTACATAGCATGCCCCATACACCACGTCCTGTCGTGGCATATCAGAGGAGCTGGCGGTGGGCGGGCCTCTATAGACCTTAATTTGTGGCGGTACTGATAAGTTGTACATATGCATAAGAATAAGAGGTAAAAGATAAGAAGTAAGAGGAAGAGAGAGGTATGGGGGTTCGCCCGCACCGAGCATTTTAAAGTTGTGCTGGGTCTTTATAGAGCTTTTGGTACGTACAGCTCTTGGAGTTGTAAGAGAGGGGTACCTGTACGTATGGGTTTGGGGGGGGGGGGGGTGTCTGCTGGTATAAGTGGGGTGCATCTAGGTACATGTATGGGAATATTTCTAGTTAGCTTAAGCTCGAATTTCCCACCACCGGTTGGCTAGGCATACGCGGGGAATGTGTTGAAATTTCATTAGCTCTTCGTAAACAGCTCTATACTCACGGAATGATTTTAGTTTTAGATCCTAAAGTCTTATGGGGTATACAAGTCTAACTCCCACACCTAACTAAACCCTAGGAACAGTACACCAGGAACAGGACTATCACAAGTGGCAGTGGCTTTCGCCGTTTTCACCCTGGAAAGTGGTATATTGGCGAGCCGGAGATGGAAACTAGGTATCCTTAAGGTACGAGATAGGACGATAGTAACTAGGGAGTTCATCCAAAAACATAGCTCTTTGCAATAAGACGAGCTCGTAGCTAGTGCCCCTACAGAGGCAGCCAACGCTAATGCCGAAAGAAAAGATCAAAGCCTGGCCACAGAACTTGTAGGTTCCGGTGCAATCCTATTAAGCTGGCTGCGCTTAACTGTCACTAATCTTCAAAACACCAAGGTCATGTCGGGGAGCGTAGGCTTCATCCAGATACGTATATACTCATATCAAACCATTCTTTACATATCCAGCACTACAAGGACCTCCTACCAGTGATCGGCTTAATCGAGTTAGCTGCAAGAATATTTGATATCGGCCTTCGTAGGAACTTTTTATAAATGCAGCTTAGAATGGTTACTAGTGCCGTAATTTGGATAAGTGTTGTTCTTTTCCTGGTTCGACTGTATCGACCGATCTGTCAAGGGTCGAGCCAAGTATAGTAACGTTAAAAGCTTGTTTTTATTCATGAGTTTTAGGGCTGATCCATAGTCAGTGTAAACACAGACTCGAATCTCGCATTGGGTTAAAGATGGGACGCTGGTTGAAGTAAATAAGGGGTGCAAGTGTTAAGCTCTTGAGAAGGGTGATAGTTAGTCTCGTGTCCAGCCTGTGTTTGCTTTGGTTATTTGGCTTGCTCTGACACCCACAATATATGTATTTGCGCATGCAATTAATGAATTAATAAAATAAAAATATATGTATTTGCCCAGAAACTAGTCGGCCGAGTGATATTCCATGATATCACGTGATATGCTACTGGCAACCCGTGTGTGTACCTGCATGGAATGTGGATGACTTTAGACAAACACAACCTAATATTACACGGGAGAAGAAAACCCTCAAACATTTCAATTATTTTTAACGGAATATATATACATGGCAGCTTCTTGAAAGCGATCATCATCATCGGTCTTGAGCTCCAGGGGCAGCGATTAGGGCACTAGGCCCTCGGTAATCGGATGAGACACTAAATAGAGTAGGTAGCATGACGCATTTTGCGATGGCTGCTCCGCCTCGATTTTGAGCCAGTTGTGTGACGCGGGGCAACATCAAGGCTAGGATGGGCTGACGACAACTTCTCCCTTGCGTTACCATTCTCTGTGGCCCTTAAGCCCTTTAACTGAACACAGTTTTGGTCTCGTATCTCCCCCTCCACACCCTTTATTGACACTTACAACCATCGTCTTTAAGCTTCCGTGAACTCGCCCCCTTTATCTCTTTAGAACGAGCCATCACCAAACATTGCACTTTGAAATGTGTTCCTCGGACTTCTTTCTCGGACTTCTGGCCATCTTGTTCCCACCTCTACCTGGTAAGCCGTTATACCTCTTTCCTCCCAGCTCTGATCACTAATGTACGGGAATCAACAGTATGGGTTAAACGGGGCATCTGTTCTGCAGACAGTATTATCAATATCACTCTTTGTATCTTTGGATTTGTACGTCATGGCTTCTCACTTGTCCCTAACGTTCCTAGGAACCCAAGCTAAACGTAGGAATAGATTCCTGGCCTCATTCACGCGTGGTACATCATCATGAAATATCCCGAGCAGTATGACTCCTTTGCCGTCGCACAAGAAGGGCACTCCACGCACGGTGGTCACTACTATCCAGCACAACCACAGGGCCAACACCACCCATCTTACGTACAGCAGCAGCCGCACCACTATTCTCAGCCACAGTACAATACCTTCCAGCATGCGCAGCCAAATCGCACTGGTGGAGCTCTAGTGAATGCTGGAGCTAGACAGCCCCAGAAATACTCACAACATGAGCAACAGACTCCCCCAGAGACCCCGGCATTTGGACCGGGTGAGGGAAGCAGTGGCATGCAGCATGGCGAGCCACCAAGCTATGCCAGTGTTGTGAAGGGAGACCATAAAGTTCAAACGTTAGACTAAATGCGTACAAAAGGTATTAATCACATCGTTGGTACGAAGACCAGGCATACAAGCCTTGTTGGGGTATTAGCTTTTCTGGCTCTCCACCTTTCTCTGATCTCTGTATATCAACTATCCAGTAGCGGGGGAGGGGTTTTAAATAATGAATGAGGGCGTTCTCACGATTGTAATGATATGATATCAAGGAGGTTTCTGGCTTTAGTTAATTTTCTTTTCTTTTCTGGCTTGCGGATCCGAACCTTATTAATATTTTTTTGCCTATTTTTGCTAGGATTATGGGGGTTTTACATGTGGTAACTAAGATCTGATTCTACCTAGTTTATTATTTGTCTTTCCCGTTATTTTTGATATGATGTAGTTCTGTGATAATGATAATTTTCTTTCGTTGATTGATTCTGAGTCAAGTATTATTCGCGTGTCCAATGATCCCACGCCAAATTTATTAGGGCCACGAGTCTTGTAAGTTAAGTACAGTTGTGTTTGTAATGATGTCCATTTATTTGTTTTGTTACCGTTGTTACGTATAGGCTCAAGATACTAAGGTGGGCTACATGTACCTAGGCAGGATAGCCCCGCCTCGTCGTGACGATCCTGTCCCTACCACCTAAGGCTACCTCTTCCACAAGCAACCCTTCTCCGCCATTCTTCGCCTATCCACCTTGCTCTTACAAATATACGGCTGGTATCTATCCTTTCATCTTCCGCCCTCTCTACTCATCAACTCCATCAACCACAACCCATCCTACGCATAACGCTTCGAACTTCATTCCCGGAAGAGCACCAGGTATCCACTGACCTCCGTCCAAACTGTCGAAAAGAAAGCCCTCAACCGAACTATCAGTTCGTCCTGATAAACTAGTCATGACGGTAAGCTTCTTTGAATCATATCCACAGCATTAATGGGTGTTTGGTGAGAAACAAATAGCTAATCGGTCATCTCCATCAACTGTAGGACTCCTCAAAGATGCAGATAGATCCCCCTGCAGATTCTGCAGTTGGGACCATCGATGAGGGCCTATACAGTCGTCAACTGTAGGTATTCCTTGTGCTCTTCCTGGAGTTGACGGTCTTTTGAAAAGGTTCCGTCTAACATTCGATAGCTACGTTCTCGGCCATGAGGCTATGAAGCGCATGAGCCAGTCGGATGTTCTCATCATTGGGATGAAGGGGCTAGGTGTCGAGATTGGTGAGCTTCTTCGTCATTTTTAGAGTCCATGATTTTCAGCTACTACCCCGCAGCTGTTTTATTGGGCTCCCCCCCCCCCCCCCCTCTTTCGATTGCATACTGACTTGAGATCCTCCATAGCCAAGAACATTTGCTTGGCCGGTGTTAAATCACTAACCCTATACGATCCTAACCCTGTTGAAATCGCAGACCTCTCGTCCCAGTATTTCCTCCAAGAGATCGACGTTGGTAAACGGCGTGATGAAGTCACTTCCCCACGCCTAGGCGAGCTCAATGCATACACACCTGTCTCGGTTCACCAGAAGAACCTTTTCGAAGATGTCGAGTCGCTCTCTAGATTTAAGACTGTGGTTATCACCGAGGCTCCACTTGAAATTCAATTAAAGGTCAATGAATTCTGTCATAAGAACAAGATTCCGTACATCTCAGCTGAAGTTAGAGGGTTGTTTGGTAATATCTTTTGCGATTTTGGAGAAGGCTTTGTGGTTGTCGATCCGAATGGTGAAAATCCGCTGAGCGGAATTGTGGCGGGAATTGATAGCTCAGGACTTGTTACTGCACTAGATGAGACTAGACATGGATTTGAGGATGGAGATCATGTTATGTTCAGCGAAGTCGAGGGAATGGAGGACTTGAATGGCGTTGAGTTCAAGGTTGAAGTAAAGGGTAGGTTTCATGATCTGTTAAAGCCCCCACACCAAGTTAAAATTGGGTCCCTAATCTCGCCAAAACTTCACAGGGCCTTATACATTTTCTATCGGTGATGTTTCGCAATATGGTACATATCTGCGTGGTGGACTCTTCACTCAAGTCAAAGCACCTAAAATCATCAATTTCCAGTCGCAGGCCGAGCAACTCAAAAAACCGGAGTTCCTTGTTTCAGACTACGCAAAGTTCGATCGACCTCTTCAGCTCCATGTTGGTTTCCAAGCTCTCCACGCATTTTCTACGGAACATAATACTCTTCCTAGACCTATGAACAAAGAGGATGCGGCGGAGGTGTTTAAATACGCAACCGCAATTGCGGAAACATATGGAGAGGAAAAACCCGAATTGAGCGAAGATCTCATCAACGAACTATCATTCCAAGCTCGTGGAGATCTTGCTCCAATGTGTTCAGTTTTCGGAGGCTGGGCAGCTCAAGAAGTTGTCAAAGGCCTGTCTGGAAAATTTGGTCCATTGGTACAGCATCTATACTTCGACTCTCTTGAAAGTTTGCCAAGTTCCACACAGCGTTCGGAAGAGCTCTGCAAACCTTTAGGCACACGTTATGACGGGCAGATTGCGGTCTTTGGAACGCAGTTCCAAGACAAGATTTCAAACATGAAGCAGTTCCTTGTTGGTGCTGGCGCCATCGGTTGTGAGATGCTTAAGAACTGGGCTATGCTCGGGCTTGCTACTGGCCCCAATGGCCAAATTTCAGTGACTGATATGGACTCAATCGAGAAGAGCAACCTAAATAGGCAGTTTCTCTTCAGACCTAAGGATGTTGGGAAGTTAAAGAGTGACTGTGCTGCCGAAGCCGTCCAGGCTATGAACCCTCAATTGAATGGAAAAATTACCACCTTGAAGGATCGCGTGGGGCCTGATACTGAAAACGTGTTTAACGAGGACTTTTGGGAAGCCCTCGACGGTGTAACCAACGCTCTTGATAACGTCGAGGCCCGAACATATGTCGACCGCAGATGTGTTTTCTTCAAGAAGCCACTCTTGGAGAGTGGTACTCTTGGAACCAAGGGTAACACTCAAGTTGTCATTCCGGGACTTACTGAGAGTTATTCCAACTCCCAAGACCCTCCAGAACAGTCTTTCCCCATGTGCACCCTCCGAAGTTTCCCTAACAAAATTGAGCACACCATTGCTTGGGCTCGTGAACTATTTGAATCCTACTTTGTTCAACCTGCAGAGAATGTCAATCTTTATCTTTCACAGCCCAACTTTCTGGAAGCTACTCTCAAACACTCAGGAAACCAGAAACAGATCTTGGAAACTATCCGAGATTACTTGGTGCTTTCCAAGCCCATCACATTCGAGGAATGTGTCGCATGGGCAAGACTTGAGTTTGAAAAGCAGTACAATAACAACATTCAGCAGTTACTTTTCAACTTCCCCAAGGATTCGGAAACATCCACAGGTACTCGTTTCTGGAGCGGGCCTAAAAGAGCTCCGGATGCTTTGACTTTTGACTGGGAGAATGAGACTCATGCAGTGTTCGTTAAGGCTGCAGCTAATCTGCATGCCTTTAATTATGGAATTAAGGGAAACCTTGATGACGAGTTTTACAAAAAGGTGATCGATCAAATGATGGTCCCCGACTTTACTCCCTCATCTGGGGTGAAAATCCAAGCCAGCGATGCTGAACCAGACCCGAATGCCACTGCCCAAAGGTTTGACGATGAGGATGAGATGCAGACACTTGTGCAGAGCTTGCCAGCTCCTAGTGCGATGGCAGGGTACAGGCTTACCAAAGTAGACTTTGAGAAAGATGACGACACAAATCATCATATGGATTTTATTACTGCTGCGTCCAACCTCAGAGCCCTTAATTATTCAATCACCCCTGCGGACAAGCACAAGACCAAAGGTATTGCAGGAAAGATCATCCCTGCTATTGGTGAGTACCTTCCCCACCCCGGACATTGAACGATTAAAACTAATAAGGAATAGCGACAACTACATCTCTTGTGACTGGTCTCGTCTGTCTTGAGCTATACAAGGTCATTGATGGCAAGAACAAGCTCGAAGACTATAAGAATGCCTTTATCAACTTGGCGCTGCCCTTCATCGGATTTGGTGAACCAGTTGCCAGTCCTAAGGGCTCGTACTTGGGACCCAAGGGTGAAGTAACTTTCGACAAGATTTGGGACAGATTCGACTTTGACCACGAAATCACGCTGCAGGAACTTCTTGACGGTATGAAAGAGAAAGGCCTGGTTTGCTCCATGGTTAGTTGTGGAGTTAGCTTGCTCTACGGAAGCTTCTTTCCGCAAAAGAAGCTTGCGGATAGGTTGCATTTAAAGTAATTCATTATCCCCCCTTCCTCCTCCATTATATCATTCCACAATTACTGACCGCTTCAAAACTTCACGTAGGATGAGAAAACTAGTTGAAGAGGTTTCTAAGAAGCCTGTACCACCGCATACCAAGAACCTTATTCTGGAGGTTTGCGTTGATGATGAGACAGGTGAAGATGTTGAAGTTCCATATATCTGTGTCCGTGTTAAATAGGTTGTTTTTTTTTTGTGAGGGAATGGCTCAAAATCCAAGAATAATTCGGATTTGGTTTCCCGTTCTTATTTCCGTATCAGCCAGTGCATACTAGGGGCTGGTTTCTTGTACGCTATCCACCTTTTTTTACACAAATACATGAGCCAAGAGATTTATGTTATATCCCGTTGCATCAACTTCGAATAATTTGGACGACGAATGAGTCTCCTCACCAACAACATTAAATTAGGTGACGGGAGGCTAATCGCACAGACTCACTCCGTGTAGTAGCTGCAAATAGGATGGTAAAATTTAATTCTTAAATGTATGACCACGATAAAACAACCTCGCTCATGCAACCGTAGTGACATTACTGGCAGGCAAAAAAAACAAAAGTGCAGGGAAAAAAACTTAGATACAGGGGATCATGTCCACGGACGCCCTTTTAGGGATATATGGTATAGGAAGACCCGTCTATTCATCAGCAACGCTAGCAAACTTCTCCATCATGTCGTTATAAAGCTTCTCATAGCGCTCAGTGATCGCCTTTTCACCATCATCTGGGATCTGAAAGGAACCAATCATTCAGCATCAGTGAACTGTATCGCCTCCCCGCTAACTAGGTATGGCGTGGCAGGAGTGTGGAAAAAGGCTTACCTCGAACTTCATTGATCTAAGCTGATGCTGCACATCTGCAGTGGCCTCACGGATCTTACTCCATTGGACACCAGCCTGAACAGCCTTCTGAGACTCATCATAAAACGCCATCATAGCTTTCATCATCCACAGAGTCTTCCATACAGGACAGTACTGGTCGTGCTTGGAGTACCCATTCTGTTGAAGGAAATCTTCTTTGATCAAAGAGCTAACATCCAGCGTAATCTTGTCGGGGTCTGACAGCGCAGATTTACCAACAAGCTGTACGACCTGGTCAAGGTCTTCGCTGTCGGAAAGACTGTGGGTGGGTGGTATTTGTTAGAATATCTATATTTCATTTTCAACTAAAGAGGGGGGGGGGGTAGCGACGTACAGTTGCTTGATGCGATCACGAAGCACAGGGAATTCAGGGTAGTTCTTTGAATAATATTTATCCAACACATTGGTGTACTTGCTGTAACTAAGAGATGTGTTGATACTGGGGAAATGCTTTCGTTGAGCCAATTTCTTGTCAAGACCCCAAAACACCTGTACTATAATCGCGAGAAAGGAATATCAGTGATGATCTCTACAAGTTTAGTAATTCAAAATATTTCGGTGAATTGATCCGTATATCGTGTGCCCAAAGCAACGCCTCTCCCACGCCGAAATGAAAATGGCAAGGGGTAACAATGAGAGGTTAACATACCAATACCCAAAGTAGAAGAAGTAACAGGATCAGCAAAATCACCACCAGGCGGCGACACAGCACCAACGATACTGACACTTCCAACTCGCCCGGGGCTACCAAGAGCTGTCACCTTACCCGCACGCTCGTAGAAACTGGCGAGCTTGGCACCAAGGTAGGCCGGAAATCCTTGATCGGCAGGCATCTCACCCAAACGCCCAGAGATTTCACGAAGAGCCTCAGCCCAACGGGAAGAGGAATCGGCCATCATAGCAACGTCTTTGCCTTGGTCACGGAAATACTCGGCAAGTGTGATACCAGTGTAGATAGAGGCTTCACGGGCTGCTACGGGCATATTGGAGGTGTTTGCGACTAGGGTAGTACGTTTCATGATAGGCTCTTTACGTCCGTTGATTTCGATAGAAAGCTATATTTATCAGTGCTGCACCCCTCATACTTTAGTTTGATCAAGAACATACCTCTGGGAAATCCATCAACACTTCGGCCATTTCGTTACCACGTTCACCGCATCCAACGTAAATGATACAGTCGGAATTAGAGAACTTAGACAATGCTTGAGAAATGACAGTCTTTCCACATCCGAAAGCGCCTGGTATAGCAGTGGTACCACCTTGCACACAAGGGAACAAGGCATCCAACACCCTCTGTCCAGTCAATAGCGGATAGTCCGCTGAAAGTCTCTCAGTAACAGGTCTAGGAACACGGACAGGCCATGTATGCATCATGGTGAAGCTTTGTGTTTTCCCCTCAAATTCAACCTCTAAAACCTTGTCTTCCAAAGTGTAGGATCCTTTCTCGGCAATGTGAGTGATAGTTCCCCTAGCACGAGGAGGTAACATAATTTTATGGTCATCTAAAAGCGAATTCTCATAAACGCTACCGAATATGTCTCCGCCGGTAATGTGATCTCCGACCTTAAGCTTCGCAGGGGTAAAATCCCAGCTTCTTCTTACATCAAGTGCGGGGGTCGCGATACCGCGGGGAATGTAAATACTGTTCGAAATCTCGTTGATGGTCTTGAGAGGGCGTTGGATTCCATCGTAAATAGTCTCCATCAACCCTGGGCCAAGCTCGACTGAAAGAGGCTTCCCGGTTCGCAAAACTGGATCACCCACAGTCACACCAGCTAAAGTAGAGTTAGTAAGCTTCCCCCGTCGCCTCCTTTCTACAGTATTTGGTACCTGTTTCTTCATAAACCTGAATAGTAGCTTTGTCTGCCTCAATTCGAATGACTTCTCCAACCAACGAATCGTGACCGACTCGGACCTATTGCAACCAAATTAGCCACAGATAGAGCTTGTACGATAACTTCTAATACACACCAGCTCATACATGGCACATCCTATCATGTTTTCAGCCACCACGACAGGTCTGTTCGCCAGTCCATCAGCCACTGCACTGCGGGGTTACTTCTTCAAAACAGATGCATTGCTTTCACATACCCAGAGACCGAGAAAATGGAGCCTATTAAGCATTTTTTTAGTATGTAGCCTTACAGATAGAAAGCTTGAAGAACAATTGACGGCAAAAGTTAAGCAAATTAGAATTCCGATGACGTACCATAATCCCCTTCCTTCGCGTACTCCTCCGCCTTCTGTGCATCTTTTTTCGCGTTTCTAAACTACAAAAAAATGAACTACTGTATCAGTATATACCACAGAGTGTGAGGTGTTATTAGGGGTTCAATAAATACCATGGTTGGATTATCTGTGTGTGAGTTGGAGTACTGCGGTAGAGCTGTTGGGGACGGTATTTCGAACTCAAGTTCGCGTGGGATGTTGAGATGAACAACGCCTTTGTTCTTGGTAACCCCTCACACTGACGCAGCGGCTCCCCCAGCCGGACCAGCCCCGATTCCGCGCTTAGTTACATACCTACATGTATGTACTAGTACCTACTCGTAGCTTTATAGCATTTCCGAACACGACCAATATTGCATGACATACAAAAAGGTGGATTTGGCGCTTTTTCGTATGTCATGCAATATTGGTCATGTTCGGAAACGCTATAAAGCTACGAGTACTGTAGGTACATTAGAGTACCACCACGATAGGGATACACACGTGTCTCAGTCCTCGAACGTCCAATCTAATAATCCTCGGTGCTGGCGTTTTAAAATCCAAGACCTTCCCTATTAATAGGCAAATCTCCATCCTCAAATATCACGGTGAGTTATGTAGTATCCTTCCATCCATGAACACTTGCGTGATTTCAACTAGATACATCTTATTCAAGAATAGGCCTTCAGATCAACTAATTCCCCACTAACCAGTTCCAGCAGGACTGGATTATTACCATATGTGCCACACCCGGCTCTTCGAACAACATGAGGCCTAGCCATGTATCTTAAACTTTGATATAAGGAAGCAACGACAAAGAACATTCTTCGAAGCACGCAAAGATTCTTCGAGAAGGCCGGGATCTCGGAATGAGGTAAAATGGCGTTTTTAATATTCGGGTAATTCCTAATTCGAAATCACTGGCCATGTGCTTTGGCAGCTCGCCTCTTGGACGAAGCCAATGAGGAGTGTTGATAGTGTCTTTCTAGAGTACCGCAAAAGTTGGGGCGTTGCACCCGGGTGTTAAATAAGATCCTGGTAAGTTTCTCTCACCAAAAACTGAAGGATTCGCCACAGTTCGAGCAATAATTGGTGCTTTTTACATACTAGGATCTTCTCTAACGCCCGGGCTTTACGCTCCAAATCTTGCGGTAGATGGTTGCAACTTATGCATGCCTGTCTCGATTGAGGGTAAAAGTTGATTTCGTCAGCTCGACAGCAGGTATCATGAGAAAATGCATTTCCCATGTTTTCGCGCCTCCAATGTTGAGACCCACATCCCAGAAAGCGCACAACTGTGGGACAAACTCGCTTTTAGCACAGCAATAGCATGTCTATCTTTGAAACCCCTCATGACGGGGCTCTTTCTATCTCCCGACTCATTTCTGAAGTCGAGTGTACACTACATACATGGCCTTGGTCGTTTTTGGTTTCGCTGGAATGTTTTCTTACCTTTTACCGAAAGCACCAGCGGGGCGAGCCAATAGCAACCTTTTCTCCCCTGCAGGCGTAGATCCTACCAGCCTAGCTAAGCTGCCATCATTGAGCTGCGCCAAAAGCTAGAGTTAACTAGAGAAGGTGCAGAGCAGGTACCTGGAGACTAAAGTAGGTACGGTAGCAGTGTAGCTGAGGTAGAGTAGCAATCAAGCAATTTTTGGTGATGTCTATCTTCAGAGGAGAAGGCACTTTATCCCAAATTACAAATAAGTAAATTATTATGTAGAGTTTGAATTTGTTCATCTCCGCTGCCCTCGCTCTAACCCTCTTGAGGGGCCGTTTTCCGAGCCACTACGTCTTTCTCCACCACTCACCTGCCTCTGTTTCTTGTTCGTCCATCCAGCCCAGCCTCCTTTTCACGTCTAGATTACTTGTACCTCCCCTAACCCCACTCCCCCATCTCACGCCTATTCTTGGTATTCGGTGAATTCAACGGACTCGCTCAGCTTGACAATAGGATAATTATTTGTTTGTTCCTTTTAGACGCCTTACTTGACTTGTGTAAGCCATCTATCTATTTTATACATGCCCTTCAGTAAAACCTTCCTTTAACTCCCTCCCCCACAACGCTTCTCAAGAGACCCTTTCCACGACTTTCCAGCCTCTTGCCTCGTCTCGTCTCGCCTCTCCCTACACTCCCCTTCTTCCCTATCCCGCACCCGCAGGAGCTGCCCGTGCCGTTGGTTATTCGCTGCTATTGTTTGTCCTAGGGTCGGCCGGCTCTTACATCGTCGTCCCGTGCTTTCTTTCTATACTAAAAACAAAATAAGAAAAAGAAAGGCTACCGAGACGCCCAATCCCTGCCATCGCCTTCCACCTTAAGCGCACCCCTTCTTATTCCCTTCATACGGAGAACCCGAGTTGTTCCCCCCCATCACTCACCCTCTTCTCCTCGACTGTTGCTGCTCCCTCCCGCCCGCTTCGCTTCAACCACCTTCTTCTCTGTTTCGATAGATAGTGGACTTTCCGTCTTCTAAAGGATTAAACGTGAGTCTTTCTTTATTTTCGGATAGCATTGTAAAGTCGGATCTTTCCCGAAGCGAACCTCCGTCGCATCACACGCGAGCCAACGGGCTGAAAGTAAGTTCTTGTCCCACGATTGAGGCGCGTGGTTTTACCTTGCATTCAAAAATGCCGTGCTGATGGAATCCTTCCTCACCCTTTCTAGAGCCGCCGTCACATCCATTCTGAACACAACTCGGACTTCTTCTGCTTCATTCCTAAGCTTCTCATCCTCAACAAGCCTCACTCATCATAGTCCGATACACTCTCACCAAGAAGGACAAAAATTAATTCAGCTTTATTTATCCCATCATTGTTGTTGATTTTAGTCTAACCATGTCGCCCGTGAGTTCGCCCCTTTCCAATACCGAATCACACATTATCGTCCACTGCCTCTCACATGTCACGTCACCACACCCGTAATGCCTTGATTGTACGCACATATGTTCTATCATGCTAACCATAGTTTTAGACCGCACAGTTTTTACGTGAATATAAGTTGGTGGTTGTAGGTGGAGGAGGTGTAGGAAAGTCATGCTTAACTATCCAGCTGATTCAGAGTCACTTCGTGGATGAGTATGATCCTACAATCGAAGGTAAACACAAGTGGCCCCGTTGCCTGGGGCAACATGTTATTCCCCAACCTCAACTATAAGTACTGACTTTGGTAATAGATTCCTACCGTAAACAGTGCGTAATCGACGATGAAGTTGCCTTACTCGATGTTCTGGATACGGCTGGTCAGGAGGAATACTCAGCTATGCGCGAACAGTACATGCGCACGGGAGAAGGATTTCTTTTAGTTTACTCTATCACAAGCCGAACCAGTTTCGAGGAGATTGCCACATTCCAACAACAGATTCTACGAGTGAAGGATAAAGACTACTTCCCAGTGATTGTTGTCGGAAACAAGTGCGATCTTGATAATGAGCGTGCTGTTAGTCAGCAAGGTATGTCAAAGTCAATATCATACGATCTTATTTCGAGGGTTTTCAATTCGCTGACTTGATCTTCAGAGGGACGAGACCTCGCTCGCCATTTCTCATGCCGTTTCATCGAGACATCGGCGAAATCGCGGATCAATGTTGATGAAGCATTTTACAATCTTGTCCGTGAGATCCGCCGCTACAACAAGGAGCAAGCTGGTGGTTCAAACTCACCCGGTGGTGGGCAAGGTATGAACAGTAGCGGTGGCGGTGGAATGGGTGGCGGCGGAAACTACAACAGCGAAAAAGACGACAAAGGTGCAGGATGCTGTGGGAGTTGTGTCATCTTGTGATCTGATCAACGGATGTCCGTTGTCGAGTGATTCTGTGGGATTTTAGACTGGAAATCGGTGTCCAGGAATGCAAGTGCTAGGAGAATACATTCCTTTGGCATTTCAATAGATGGAAGATGAGTGGGATGGTATCGGAATACCTCTTACAAAACTTGGTACTCCCTTGGATAAGACCCCTCCAGAGTATGTCATTTCTCCTTTGTGGTTTCTATATTACTTATTCTTTCTTTCTTTCTTTTCTCTATTCTGGATGACAAGGCGCGAACAAGGATATTTGCGTATCGCGATTAATGTTTTTTTTTTTTTTCAATATTATTTTTGCTATCACTTTAAGTTTATACTTGTACGCATTTCAACCACTCCTTTTCTTCGCCTGTGTCATTTTTTTTTTTTTTTCCTATGATGGGTGGTATCTGGGCTTTGCTTGGGGTTTTGTTTTTATTGCTTTCGATGTTGGTCGCTGCATGGTATCGCGGAAGGGGAAAATGTTGAAAGGCGTCGAGGTAGATGTTGAGGGAAAAACGGAAAAGGCAAAGATGTGGAAAATAATCTTTACATCTTCGACGACGTCCATCGTTCAGTAATTCATTGTTTTTATCTTCTACCTTCCCCCCCTCTTTCAAGTTTTTCTTCTTTCCTTGTTACAATACCACTCTATCGGTCACTCATCTCCTATGCGTTACGGGACTCCACTTCTACTGCATATCGCAAATGTATCCTCATCCCCCATACTACCCATGGTCTATGGCTTTACGTCTCCTTACCCTTTTTCTTTTTTCTTTCTTTTTACCCTCTCTTCCTCTTCCTCTTCCTCTTTCGTTTCCCTTTTCCTACTCCTCCTTTCTTGATGTTTTATAATTAATAAGCCCCAAGAATATACCATCCCTCGACGCCAATAAAAAATCTTCCAACGGACTTGATCGTCTTGACCTCTAACACTTTTTTTTCGCTACCGTAATAAGAACCTTCTTGGTTAGCTGTGTCATCTAAATAACCTCAACTCCGATACTTTTATGTGTATAAACATATGTATGTAGTTAGTGAGTTAGGACTGTTGAATATACTTTCGGATGTTGGCCATCTAATCTTGGAAACGTGGTGAGTGATATCTTGTGAACGAAACTTCACTCATGCATATAGGTTGCTGGGCGCCTGTATGTAATCAATCGCGAGATATTCCGCCCGGTCTGCCAAGCTTTGCTCCACAGAACTCTTCCTACCCAATCCCGTCCCGACGGCCAAGAGGTGCATACATGCATATAATGTCGTTCCGCCATTACACTCAAGTACCAACACCTTACTCCTCTAAGAAAATAAGATCGCGGGTAAAAAGCAAGTGACTAAAAGTATTAGATTTTGCGCTTTGGGCCGAGCCTTTGAAGTTTGCAAGGTTATTGTTGTAGATTCCCCGCGGACGGCACTCAAACACTGTACCGGAAACGTGGGTGGGATGACTGCCGTGATGCCATCGAGCTGCAGTAATGCTGGCTGTAACTTTAGTGCGACGAGTGGGTTTCCCTCAGTCCCGCACCTGGTTTCTGGTACGATAGTTGACTTGGTGTACCGCTAGAAGGGGGTAGATTCTGTGGGCCGGTACCTCTTAGAAGCTGGTTCTGTTTTCGCCCACCATAGTTGTTTAGGGTGTGCATCATGGACGGGACAAGATAATACATCACTTTAAATCTAAAGTATAAGTATTAAACTATTGGAATTAGGTTCATCACTTGAGCTAGCTCAAGACCATGCCGCAGAGTAGATGGCAATGTGTGGGTTTAAATTAGGAACGTGGGAGATTCCTCTTATAACTCGATCCCAATTAGAATGGCGCTGTACAGCCGCATTTGAAAAGTATTGGCACCTCCGAGCCAAACTCACGAGGCAGTCCTTTCTGCTTTTCAACCCTCATATTCGAGACAATTGCCAGAGAGAGCTGCCATGACTCTATTGCGGTCATACCTATCAATAAGTTGAGTATGCGCGAGTGCCATGGATTTTGGTGGGCTATAATTCATGAACGACTCAATATAGTAGGGTGCCAGTACTTTTCGAATGCGGCTGTACATGTCTACATGTACATCTATATACTTACACTTGTTAGTACAGGGAGGAATCGGAGTGCGGAGCGCCTCTCAGCACGGATTCTAGAAACCCAAATCTGTTGCTTCCCAAGGTTCGAAAACCAGATATTGAAGTCACAATTACAGCTAGGCTAGACTCATTGGTGACCATTTAGTTGGCCAGAACGCCTTAAATTGTTTACCCTCGTGGCATGGCTTGGGGTCTAACGTTGGCTAATTATGATTTTGAGGGGAGGGGTAGGGAATAGCGGCACAGTTGAATGTAGAATCTATAGGTACATACAAGTTGTAACTTGGTAAAGTATCTTACCTACATGCACTTCTATTTATGGTGATATGTAGAGTAGTACATAACTATCCTTATTAGATTCACTGGATAAGCCATACTGTGGTTCAGACGCAGAGTGATTTTATGTATCCCACTCCGATAAAAGTCCCATATTCATTTAGACCGGCCCGCCTCCAAAATTCTGGTCCTCGCGCAACAACGACGTCGATCACTATCACTGGCCTTGAATATGGAGTAAACAATGGATACACGTCCTTTACTAATCTCCCTAAAATAGACACTTTTGCGTTTCGGCACAGTCAAAACGAGCGTGCTAATGCATAGGCTTGAGGGAAAGGCCCCTGATAGTTCTTTTATCGAAAATCGCATGATGATCAAAGGTTTGTTTGCTAGATCCAAGTGGAGGAGTGGGAGACTGGAACTTGTTCTCTCTATTCTTTATAACCTAGCTGAACTACTCATGATACAAGGCGGCTTCCCGAACCTGGTTGTACAGGATTCTCTAGTTATTTGCAGTGGGTACGAAGCAGCACACATACCGCCTCGAGTCCCGATTGTTGTAACCCTAGGCAGATAAACTATAATTACTCTTGTCGCTACCACGCCTTCTAGGAGGTTTACAACTTCTACACAGCCTATTGAGTTATAAAAAGAGAACAGGCATACAGTTATATCATAGCAAGAGAAGAGAAAATGGGAGGAGGAGAGGCATGGCCAAATTTGTTTCCCATTTCCTTATGTTGAGATTGTGGTGGATGGAGGGAAGCTCTAGAGGTAAAATGTTAGATATTGCCATAACCTTAGGGTTGCGTACAATCGATGAATTAACAATAACAACAATATTGTAATGGGACCAGAGTGACATTCCATGAACCAAATAATGCGCCACTCAAACTTTTGCTGCATATTCTATCATTGACAGTGGTATCACTGACAAATGATTACATACCTATCACCAAAGAAGACGCCTAAGATTTCCCTTGCACTACCATGGCCAGGGCCCTCTCGGAAAACCTCTTACAGTAGTTTTCTTTAGTACTCGGGGCCAACCCGTATACTAGAATATTTCAACCCTACATACATGTACTGTGTGCATACATACCATAATAACCAACCCGGATTCACTCGTAGCAGCCGAGCCGGCTCAAGGCCCCTCAAGTGCTTGTCTTGTCTTGTTATGTCTTGTCCCGCCGTGTGTTCATCAACACCAAGGAGGGACGCACGCCCAACTGGTCACAAGCATTGCTATATTAAGCCACTGATGGTGACTGACTGGACAAATCTTGAGAGATAGTCAGGAAAAGGGTCTAGGCTCAGCCCAGGCCTTCACAAACTCTATTTGCCGACAACTACTCCCGGAACGGAAACGCCTCGGTGGCTTAAGGTTTGCTTAACCACATTCCGACATCCGCTGGCTTGGTTCTCAACCTGGCTGCTGGTGATGAGGTGATCGAAGCTTGTGGGTTTCTTCCGCACACGATATGACATGCAACAAGTTTAACTTGCTTTCCCTCCAAGTTATGGGTTTTGATCAGAACCAAGACCGGGCGGTAATTCTCGAACGAATTGCGGGTGTTTCAAACGATTCTTTGATTAAAATCTCCAATAACTAGCTCTCTATATCCCGTCTGAGAGTGATCATATGAGATTTGATCCTTGATAAGCGTATGTGGACGTTTTAATTAGCGGAAATTCTGCTCTACAGTCAATAGAAAATTGCTCGCGCCGGAGATATCAGGAGCATTCAGGGCCACGCGAGTACGTAATGGATGTCTTGAAGTCGAGGAACTCTCCGAGAGAAAGAAGGGGGAAAGTATACCGCCGGTGTTGATATCCAGTATTGTAACCTGTGGTCGTGGTTCAAAAAGCCTGACTGGATGGCTGCCGAAATATGAGGAAGTCGATGATATTAGAGTAGGGTATGATGTGACAACCCTCATATCCGAGTGGTTAAAATGAAAACCCCTCTTATCGCTGCAAGATCGAAATCGACTGGCTACCATTTGCCATTTCGTATTAAGCTTAATCTCAGAAATTATATTGGGGAGGAGATGTCATTCGTCAACTCGGCGATGATGATAATCCAGTAATTCGACTCCGGACCTGGACCCAGTCAGCGGGGATTAATGATTATGGGAACGGAAGTTATAGATAGTGCTCATCAATTGCAACCACAAGACTTCCCCTCACGAGTATCACAGATTGTCACTCGCTCACTTCCCTCGACCACACCATTAGCAAGGCTCGCAGCGCCATTCACCACATTCCAGATGCTTTAAGCTGAAACCACTCGTGTGTAAGGCTGTCAACCCCATCAGTCCAATCAATATATATGCCCAGTGAGTTGACTAAATTCGGGCACTTTCGCATGGACAAACAAAGAAACACACCCGAAACCTCGAGCTCCTCCTCCTCACTCACTCGCCTGCAGATGATGGGATGGGGGTGAAACAGACACAACTACATACCTATTTTTTTTTTTTTTTTTTTACTTTTCCTGCGAAGAAAAAAAAAAAAAAGTCCTGAACCATGAATCTTTGTCCTACCACACTCCATAAAAACTCCACATCACATTCGGACCGACCCACGACTCTCGCTATTTGATCTGATAGTGATCCCCCACCCCCTTCCTCCCAGCGTCCCTAGCATACCTCCCTCCTACCGAAGTAAGTACATGTATGTACCCACCGACCACCAGATGGTCACTAGAAGAGAAGCTCCACTACGCCCAAAATTAACGGTGTACGAATCCAGCACTCAAAAGCCTTGCGTTAAAGCAAACTTCTCCTTCCGGGTAAAGTACCCACTTATTGTAGTTCACTCTGTTTCCAACACACACATACACACACATCAAAATCAAGATATTAGCTTTTGCGGGGGTTTGTGGCTGTCTGAGCCACACATCTGCACCATGATCACTCTACCTCAACTGTGTGATCTGCATCGTCACATTCTCGTTTTTCACGGAGCGGAGGTTGTCCTCGTGTGCTTTCTCTACATAGAGGAGACTACGTGGGCAAGTCCACGACCCAGCCAGCCGGCCCAAGAAAATAAGGATATAAAAAAAAATCGATTCAGCAGAGGATCTAGGATCTAAAAAAGTATGGCCACTGTAAAGATAACCCACAGCCGTTACTCTACTAGTATTTCGCTGACGTTTTTGAACTGGGCCATTATTGCATACACCCAAAACCATGAGCTTGGCGTATTTTTGTATGGCATGCAATATCAGTCGCGTCCACAAACGTCAGAGAAATACGAGTATTCGAAAACTCTTGCATGCTTGACCGCCGCTAACGCCACCACTATAGGAGAACAAAGTAGAGCAGAGTAAGCGGTGAGGGAGGAACGGGGATGGGAGTACTCTAGGTATCGTGGAGGCATGTGCCATGGAGTTAAGGGTTCTATGGTGAGAGGAAATTAGATTATCTAAGCTTGCTCTCCAGATATTGGGGTGAAGGGTTAAGTTATAAATGAGATGGGGATTAATGATATAGGCTAGTTTAGAGTAAGCAGGTTCCTCTTCAGTTCCTGCCAAGCACCATTGAAAATCTACTATTAGGACGATTACCATAGTTAGGAAATTGGGGAAATAAGTATCATTCTAATATACATGTATCTGATAGAGAACAAAATGCAACAGGACCGGGATTTTTGGGCATTCCCACAACCTCGGGAATAGTGCACATGTATGCTAAATTTTCCGATAGGTCAGTTTCACGCCCCAACTTTAAATGAGCCCTTCAAAGAATTCCCCGGGAATGACCTAAGTACAAGGCAACTCCTCGATACAGCACTTCGATGATTAATTTGCACTCAGAGATTCCCCAATATAGTTTACGACTAGTCAAGCATTCGAGGCCCGTGGATTAGTCTGTTGGTATACATGAGTGACAGACCAGTATGCTACATAGACGTACAAGCCTGATTGTACTCTGGATTTTTCGAAGTTACTTGTATCCTATGAAGGACACAAACCAGGGTTCGTATACTTGAGGTATTTTGTAAATAATAACTAGAATAGGCATGCGAATAGGCCAGTCTTTATAGATTCTTCTATATGGCCTACTAAATATCAAATCGATCTGGTCTTCTAGGTAGGCCACATCAAACAAGACTAACTTCACATGCTATAGGGGGGCAATTATTTACTGAGTATGTGATCATGTAGAGGTCAGCGCTTCACATTTCATAATATCATGAACAATAATCGTGATCCATAAATGAAGGGATATAGCGCACAACAAGACGGATGAGAAACCATACAGATAATAAACGGGAAAACAATATGTCCGTAAATAAACAACTCGAGATGGGAAATATCAAGACCGTGTAGAAAGTACTTGAACACCAAGACCTTGCAGTTATGAACTAAGTGATTAAAGTTCACAACGCAGAAAAAGAAAACGGTGGACAATCACAATGGTCCAGGCCACGAGCGAGGTAGAAAAAAGGAAGAAAAAAGGAAACGTTGGAGGTAACAACCTGGATGTGCATAACGCGACGGTAAATGAGAGAAAGAGCAGCCAAGCAAAAGGAAACGGTATAATACGGAAAACAAGCTTCGAAATGCTCTTTTCATGTGGTGTTGACAGACGCTTCATAAAGAGCTACTCCATTCTCGGCCGAAGAATCCTATCAATGTCTGGAATTTCTGTTGATAAAACGCATATGGCCATGAAGTAAAGTGAAGGATAAAAATCGTAATGAAAACGGAAAAATAAAAAAACGCTCGCAAAAGAGTAATCGACCAAGACATTAGCAAAAAGACACAATTCTTGAGCCGCTACTTGAACTTTCTCATGCCAGATCAGTCGGAAAGAGTTGCCTGCTTGAGGCGTTGTTCAAGCCGCTCAAGGTCCTCAGCAGAAGGTTTATATTTAGACTTCTTGGGACTAAACGGAGTGTTAGTGTCATCACATGATACAAAGAATTGAATTGGCAACTTACGGATCGCGGACGCCTGTGTCTTTCTTTTGACTACCACAACCTTCGCAGATCTTAGCTCCAGTACTGAAGGTCGAATTGCACTTGGTACAGGTCCAGTGCACACGGCGGCGGGGCTTCTTGTAAACGAGTTTCGGGCGACCTGGAAGTGGCTCGTCCCGTTCGCTATCACTAGGGTCACACCCGTCGTAGTATCCAGGTGGCTTGTTCTTCTTGAATCTAAATTATGGATGTTTAGTATGATGTAATAAACAAAAGGTTTGCAGGGTACCAACGGTTCACGAGGACACTTCTTGCAACGGTTGTGGTTGCATTTTTTGCAAACTTTCTCCCCAGCGAAATCAGTCTGGCACCTGTGACAGGTGCGATGGATTCTTTGCCGTGGTGCTTTGCGGACGAGATCTTGTCCACCAGTACGGCTTGGAAGCGTGAGGCCTGAAATGTAATCCTTCTTCTTCTTGCGAGTGATTTTGTCACCAATCTTTTCCTTGCCCTTGCCCTTATCCTTGGGTTTCTTGACACTATATGCCCAAAGGAATCAGTTAAAGCCCTCCAAGAATAACAAATGTTGGATAAAACGAATTCTGGGATGATCTTACGGGTTCCGCGGGCATTTGGTGCATCTCTTATGGCCGCATGAACAGCAGACCTTATCAGCACCAGTGTAAGTAGTACCGCACTTATGACAGCTACGGTGAACTCTCATACGAATGTCCTTCTGGACGCGCTCTCCGGGGGGCGCATTAGACAAAGGCCAATCAACATTGATCTCTAACCCGTGTTTCTTGAACAATTCCTGAGCACGCTCCTTAGTGGTCAATTGACGGGGTGCTGGTTGAGAGCTCTTCGGTGCCTGTCTAGACTTCGGCTTCGGCTTCGGCTGGACTGTGGTGGGAGCAGTACCCCTATCAAGTGTTAGTTACATTAATTTAGAGCCGATGGCAGTTAATAAATACCGAATTGCAGGTGCTGCTGGAGGTGTAGCCGTAGTAGTAGTAGCAGCAGGAGTAGTAGCAGCAGGAGCAGCAGCAGCAGCAGCAGGAGTGGTAGCAGCAGCGCTGCTGGGGGCAACGGTTGGGCTGATAGGAGGTGTCTCCTTTGCGGCAACTGGTGGTCTCCCGGACTTGTTGAGACTCATGACTCGCTTGATAGAGGCTGTAAACCGTTTCCTAATGGACTTCTCGTCCCCAATGGAACTGGTGCCAACCATCTTGGATAGGTAATGTTTGGATTTCTTTAAACTCCTGAAAGAGGGTTAGTCGTCGGTGGGATGGGGCCGGGGTCAGTTAGTGTTGGTGAGTTCGGTTGTGGTCGTTGATTTCAACACTTGAAATTGGGCAGAGGAGGTGTTAAAGAGGGGTGTGGGGAATTAAATAAGGGTTGGCAACCAATGTTCAGACGAACAAGCGTGTGGTAGCCACTCGATTCAATTCGCTTCGAACGGCTGTGGCGATAAAAGTAAGACTCTGGCTAAAGCAAGACAAGAAGTGGATCTCTCCGGATTTATGGTCTTCCAAATAGTTTGAAGAAAGAAATAAGATCAGGAATAGGGTTGGGGGGACAGGAGAGTATGAATTATAATGGGAGACGGGGGAAGGCGGGTGCTGGGTCAAGAGGGTGGAAGAGGGAGTAGGTGAGTTGGTAATATAGGCAGGAAGGGACCTACGATGGGTTTTTTTCTTCGTTCCCCTGTTCCTATCCGACCCGCGTGAGTTTTGTGGTGCTTGGGCGCGTCGCTTAGCGACTGTTTGTAATTTCTCGCTGGAGCGGCGAGGGAGGGTGGTGCGACCGGGGATTTGGGAAAGCTAAAAGCTCCAATGCTATCTATCGACCAGCCACTCAGGGTTTACCGTGTCGACGTCAGTGTTGACGGAAACTAGAGGATAGGCGGCGGGTGCGGGAACGACTAATGGAAGGGATTGAGGGCAGTAGCGAGATGATAGAGAGAAAAAGAGAAAAAGAGAGAAAAAGAGAGAAAAAGAGAGGGAGAGGAGGGAGGAGAGGTATGAGTGAGGAAGAAGAGAGACGCTATTGGCGCTTGATGCCTGCGTGTGGATAAGTAGGAGGGAAAGAGGAGAAAGAGAGGGGGGGACTGCTGGTACTTTAGTTGCGTACGGGCCATCACCTTCCGGGGAGACAAGAGAGAGATGATTCCCACACTGTAGGCAGGACGACAAAAAAAAAACCAAACCGAAGCCCAGAAAAGACATAGCTCCAACCGCGTGTCGGCTGTTGAGAAGGTGCAGCCTGCTAAGTATGGAACTTGGCTGTATGAGAAAAGGCGACAGGTTATGGTATTTTGGAGGTGTACCGTACTCTACAGTACATGGTGTGTAGATACATGATGTATGTACGAGGTATGTATGTATGCTAGTACTCGTTTACGAGTAGTAGAGTAAAGTGCGGGTCAATAGGCGGTACATGTAGTAGTGCTCTTTCCCTCTGTCCACAGCGCAGGGATTCATAATGAAGCCAATGGAATAAGTGAGCCAGAGTAATGGGCCCACCCCCCAAATCTTCCAAGCGAAAACTCCATTCCCATGTCGTTGACAGTGTCAACGCTAGGTAGAGTAAAGTACATAGATCTCTCTCTTAATTGACGGAAAAAAAATCAATTTCAAGGCCGGCGCAACCCGCACATGCATGCGTGAACTTCACATACTCTGCCTATTGTAAATAGTACACTCCCAGACTCCCCTACATGATCTTTCTCGATGTGGTATCATGTACCCCTCTGCTTCGCTGTGCTGGTTCGATCCAAGATCGTTGCTTCCTTCCCAGCATGGAAGAGTACATGGTGAACAGTGCCAGGAAGAAGCGGGAAAGGTGACCATTTTGGGGCAATATGTTACTCGAAGTGAACCATGGACCCACCGATACCATGTGTCCTGTCCCAAGCAATATACCGGTAGAGTACGCATCATCTCCAATTCCCTCACAAATGTATGTAAGGTATACTATTTATTTCTATGATAATGTTAATCTAGAGTGCTTAGGGCGTTCATGCCGGCGTTCTTAACATACGCATATACATGTACCATCCCACGCGTTCCAACTCGAAAATAACTGACCCCGCCCAGTAAACACTATAAACTAGAGCGGATAGCGTCCGAAAACAAAACGAGAGCACTCGAGGACAATGAGAGTAAGCCAGTGCTCTGCTCTACTCGTCTATACATGGGTTATACGCTAACTTCCCTTATACTCATGCATCAACGAGTAGAGCAGAGTGCATACATACATACATACGACAGTGCAAGCGGTAATATGTATCATACTCTAGAGTAGAATACTACAGGTTATTACATACTTACAATATAGCCACAGATGAGTATTTGCTCTACTATATGTGTATGTACTACCATATCCCTAACCTCTACCTAGAATATCCTAGAGTAGAGTACAAGTAGCCGTTCGAGAGCTCTGATACCTAGTTGAATCCCGAGTCCAAGGTGCACCCGTTGCGTATTACCGGCATGTTGCCTGCGATGTTCTGGGGTCATCTGCATGGCAGAGCGCTCTAGGTACTTCCTGCACGGCCAAACAGGAGCTGTGGCTTCGGCTGGCTCATCCCACTTTACATGAACACAACCATCTACGTACTCTGCTCTACTATAAATCTAGAGTACATATAGGTACATCCTATACCTACGTATACATTTTCTTACTGGGCATTAATGTAGAATGCTCTAGCACGTGTTAGTTTAGGAATACATACTCTACCTAGAGTATTTCAGTTGCCTAGTCAGAGACCCTTAATACGCGCTAAACAGGATGTTGAGTGAAGTTGGCTTAGCACTCTGTCAATGCAGTAACCAGTTACGGTCTAACGGGCGGATGTAACCGATACCACTTTCCTTCGCGTAAACTAGCGCGCTACCAAAGTGTGTTTCAACCAAAGGGGACTTACCGATAGCGGGTAAGGTGATGTGACGCCGGGTCTAGTGGAGGGTTCACGCTCTGACCAATTTGTTAGGAACGTAAATCCTCACGGTTGTATCCATCCAAAAGTAGGTATATGCTACACTCTACATAGTGTACTCTACTATCTAGGTACATTACAGGCTACTCAAGAGTAGAATTAGGTACGTACATGTAGGGAGGAAAGAAGACCCAAAAGTACCGTAGTCAAGACGGGCAATGCACACGTCAACCCACTCCTACGGGATAAACCCCTTATTCTGTTTCGCTGACTTTGGACCGTGTCAACTTTGCAAGGATGAACGGAAGGATAGCCGTCTCCCGCAGTTATGAGGGCAAACGAGTTTAGCTTCCTCTCCTGACTGATGTAATCTGGAAAGATCTGAACACTGGCAATAATGGGGTTCTTTAACTTTAATTCTTCACGATTCCTGCTTCTACCCTCTCTGCTTTATTTGCATACATTCCGTGTACATTTAAGAGGGGGAATCTCATGGCATTTTTATGGCATGGCGCATTAATGTATGTACCCGTTGCATAATCTCCAGATCACAAGTTGGGAATTCACTTCATCGTAAACATCAATATGACTGAAATAACTCCTACATAATATCAAAATCGGGCGTTCAGTTTCCCATCCCAGTCAAGGCCAGCCAAGTATGTGCCTTGGGTACTTCCATACAACGCCTAGAGATGTACTTACTATTACCGTGTTAGTGGAGGTATGTGGATAGGATATTCATGTGGTCTTTGCACTTTTATATTTGCATACATACATGTATTTAAGTAGGTAGAGTGAGATGTGCATAGGTACATGTAGGTACTCTACTCGGGGCAGGTAAAAAGTACCGGACAATGCAGGTTTTTGGTTCACCAATGGGCGCGCGTGCTAGGCGTGAACCACTGCAAAAAAAGCCCAGAGACAAAACTTGCATTGTCCGGTACTTTTTGCCTGCCCCGAGTATGGTGCACACACTCATAAAGGTGATATGGTGGCATACGGAAGTGGCTGCAATAGGGCCTCATGGGCCAATAAGAGGGCGGATCAGTTAGGTTTGCTTTTCTGGGGGTATAAATGGGTATAATACTGTTCAACTTTGTTCAGTCTTGGCGCATTTTACATACAAAAATCCACAATTTCAACTTGCTAAGGCTTTTCAACCCAGACAGATATCAAAAATCTGCAAGATAGAACTAAACTTCATCTCTTGAACTAGAGTTCCATCTTTCCGCTTTTTTTTTACCATTTTTCGTTGCAAAGCCTTAGGCTTTTGAGATTTCGTCGTGATCCGCTACCTTTATGCGTGGGCGCACCATATACATCATCTTTGCTGACGTAGAATCCGACAATTTGGTTACATCTCAATCCAGGAATGTAATGCACACGTTTTTCGAGAAGATCCAGCTGCAGCGAATTTGTCGAATCCAATGCCCCAGAATAGTCAAGATCGAGCTTCCCACACGCAATAGCGGAACGTGGGGGTGGTTCAGAAACACGTCCGTAACCTCAGCCACTGGAATGGCTGTCTCATTTTACCGATTCTCGTGGCAATGCTCTACCCATCAACTCCGGGTCATATATCCCTGGAGGCGGGAGAAGAAGTATACCCAGTGAAGTACATTACCTGAGACTCATCATGAGTAGTCGATATGTTTACTAGCACCGCACCGGTATTTGTAGATCCTTCAACGCTATTGGGTATTCTGGCTCGTATCTGGGGAAGTCAGCCTAGGAGCCCTAGATACCTAGTTTATGGGGCACGGTCTAGACCACGCGGCTGCCTTTCCAGAATAGAGCATAATCCTAGAAATGAGGTGTGTTCTGGCCATGGAGAGCTCTTTTTCGCTCTCTTTCTTGCGTTTTGCAGAGTATCTATAAACTTCGACTGGACCTATGTACCTACTCCAGAGACCTGGGAGCCGAGGAGCACATACTTTGGTTGAATGCTGTGGACCTATGACGCGAGAAGGCATAGGGTGGGTGTGTCAACTTCAGAGGAACTTTTTTGTATGGGAATTAGAGAAAATTCCACCGTTGGGCTAGGCGCTAGTACCATTATGGGAGTAGATCTCCTAATTTCTATAGATTGATTGGCTGCAAACGCTGAAGTTTACTTGTTTACCACGAAAAGAACCAGAAAATGCAGTTGCTCAGGGCAAGGATTATTTGTATGGAGTGGCGGTGATCTCTCATACAAACTATCCCTGTTTCCGTCACTTGCATTTTCTGGTTCTTTTCGTGGTAAACGAGTACACACCTACCCACTATATCTTCTCGAGCCATAGATTCATAGGGTTAATAGCACTCTACCGCCAAAACTCGAAAAATTGGCTATCTCCGGCCAGGGATTATCGCTCGAGTGATTGGTTGAATGGCATCGATCTGCATCAGAAGTTTCCCACACAAGTAATTTTGATCTCTGGAAGCTAGCCAATTTTTCGTGTTATGGCGGTACTCGAATCTCAATGTGTCCACTTAACCTGTGAATCACATTGCCGAGGCAGCATGATGCGGGTTTACTCTGGACGGCGGCGGCTGTGGGTGCGCCTTCATTCGGACACGCGTACATTAGGACTTATGCTGCGCTAGTAGGACTCTGGAGCAAACTTTCTTGTGGCCCACGTGAACTTCCACATGAATGCCCCTTCTTTTCTAGTACCGCAAAAACTCACGAACTTTGCTAGCGGATCTGACCAAAAACTAACTTGTAGAGGAAATATCTGAAGCTGATCTCTGCCTTTCAGCCAATCATCAATGAAGAAATCCCTGCACGGAGATAATCAAGTTGGCGAGTTTCTGCGGTACTTCTTTTCTAGTGCCTATCGAATACCTGTGGCGCAGTCGGTGAGCTGGGAAAATCAACCAAGTCTTTTTTGTGTAAAGACAAATATGTACATATAAATTCTTTTATACTTTATTCAAACTCGGTTATGGGATCTGTGGAATAAAGAATCACGCTCTCCCTAAGTATCGGGACGGTTGCGCGGTTGCCGCTGAAATTACAAGCCGTGCGGCAGCGATCCTGGCTGGTTCCGAAGAAGCCCTAGGTGCAAGAGGAATGACTGGGTTCTGGTTTTCGGGTACTCTACATGCCTGGTATCATTTGAGCGTTCGGGACGAACACGGTATTATGGAATTCGAATCAAGTGACGATCAATGGTCAGAGTCTGGTCCGATGTAGTGGTGATTCCACAACATTTCCTTGCATCGGTGTGAAGTAGCTACATACCCTACGTGTGTCATTCACTGATCAGTATCCGACGAACGGGCCAACGATTTTCTGAAACCCAAAGATCCTTGCCTAGAACTATATAAAGAGTTATTACCTATTGTACATGTACTCTAGGCAGGTAGGCACATATATTCTACAAGTAGTTTCCGGCCTTCGGCCGGTACTATACTCGCCAAAAAATAAAGTCTGGCGGTGAAATAAGTACCGTTGCAACGCAGCCATTCGGCCAGATACTTGATTCACCCCCAGACTTTATTTTTTGGCGAGTATGTGTATCAATCAGTCCAATATACAGGCTTATTTTTCTCTATTTGCCTGGCAGGCAAAGTCCATCACTATATCTAGATCTGCTCTGGTCGATATTTGCCTTTTCTGATATCCCCCATATATCAGCAGTTCAAGCTGCAAGTATATCCCTTTAACAGCCACAATTAATACCATATGTTAATATCCAACACAACATGTTTCAAGTGAAACAAAACCTCTCTCAATGAGCCAATCAGAGGACTATAAAAGCACATTGCATATGCAGGTTATAATTATATACTTAATAGATGTTAAAATTCTACACAATACTCCAATACAAATTTGCAAATTTATCTACTATTCTAGTGGCAGCAGCTGGTTATCGAAAGTGCATAACAACCTGGAAATATCTGACAACACATCGCAGGGACTAATTTATTGGAATTTTTGGTTAGGTATTAAACTTCGCTTAGACCGGTACATACCTACATGTACATACTTGCTGTAGGTATGTACGTAGATTCTGGTTGTGAAATGTCCCTCGAATCCCATAGCCCACCGCGATATTAAAGTTTTGGTAATTATTAAAAAGCAACACCTGAACCACCACTTTTGAAAAGTATATCACACATCTAAAAACATTGTTTTGAAATCCCGGGATCTTTTGAGGCAGTTTACAATGTTCGTGCAAGAGTTGAGTTTTTTTTTTGTCTAAGGCTAAACATGGGTATTTGGCTGCAATTTGCCAGAACTTTTGCATACCGATAGCGACATATCGTAGTCTGGTCTATCAGTAATCGGCGTGGGGGTCAGCTAATATTACTTAGCGCATGCGTATATATACTCGCGACCAGCAACAAGAACCCGAAAATGCACGTCCTAATCTGCAATTTCCATTGGAGTAGAGGCCGGAAATACACCAAAGACTTGCAGCTGCATATTCGGGTTCTTGTTGCTGGTCGCGAGTACGGTACTGTATGTTCTAACATTTACTATAGAATATAATGCATGCCTCGGTTCAATTGTAAGTGATCCAACTTTTGATACAATGTACGTGCGTAGTAAGTATGTAGGTACATGTACTATCCCTTAAACCGTCAGTTGCCGACCCCGATGATCGATATAGGGGTTCAGTTGTGTGGAAGATTTATTATATAATAAGAAAGATAAGAAGATCTGTTAGTAAAGCTACACTAAATTTTCTTTTCTCTGGGGTTAGCATTTAACTGACGGTTTAAAGGATACATACTTATGAATATGGCACTCCGTTTATCATTTCAGGTTAGCAGCTGATCTGGAATTTCTACCTGAGGACAGGCCTTATAATTAAGCTTGTATATATACTCGGCCTAGGCTATCCACGTGACCATATGTAGGTACATAGTTACTCGAGATCTAACTAGGCCTACCTACCTATTTGTACGCCTTATATGATTTGAATCGAAGTACAAATAGTTAGCGTAGTAGTCTATCACACTAGCCAATAGTAATACTACCGTATATATTGGTGTCGATAATTGATTGATTGGTTGATAACATGAATTTTGGTGTTAAGAACGATCATCTCTAGATATATCTGGAACGAAGGCTTAACGCTAGGCTGGCATAAGCAATACGTTTGTATACACTTTATTGCTTATATATCTAATCACTGTAGGTATATAGTTAACTTTCTGGTTGGTCTTTTCGCCGTTCGCATGATCAATAATAATATGCAATTAAGTTGAAATCGAAGTAAATAAGACACGCCCTGGGGAGTCGCAGAGTTAATGATTGGGGCCCGAGAGCATCAACTATATATATACTTGGTATACACGCGGAGACAGAGAGATTAGGAGACTGAATTTTTCTCAGCGGTCGTTATCATATC